AAGGTGGAGGGCGATTTCGATCTCTTGGCGACGGACTACACCAATAAGGTGTAGGCCAAATTTTTCGCCTTGGCGACGGACTACACCAATAAGGTGTAGGCCAAATTTTTCGCCTTGGCGACGGACTACACCAATAAGGTGTAGGCCAACTTTTTCTCGTTGACGACGGATTCCACCAATAAGGTGTATGGTTACAGAATTCCGTTGAGACCGGGCTACATCAATAAGGTGTAGGAAAAAATAAAAATAAAATGACGGAGAAAATTTTCTCAGCTGCTCCATTCTTTCCTCCTTATTTATCGTTGGACTTTCTTCACGCTTGAACTGCAATTTTTGAGGGGAGAGCTGTAATTGGGGGAGTAATTGCATCGTCCTGAACATACAGCCAGCCAAAATTCCAGAAAAGATAGGAAAATATCCAATAAGTGTTGTATATTTTGTTGTAATATGTATGTGCATAAATGTTAAATATTCCTCGAATATCGACTCAAATTTATTTCACGTTTCAACAGGTACTCTCAACTTTTGGAAATCATGGCTATGCAAATATCGGAAGGTGATGACGACGACCTCTACTACGACGCTGCTTCAGAAGATGATTTTGAAGCTGAGGACGAGTCTGACAGCGATATTGACGAGGTTTAATATTCTTTTCGTTTGTGACCATTCCTCGGATTATGACCTTGCTCTACTTATTAGGATGAAACCATAAACTGGGATGAAGAATTTCGTCCACCCGTGCATAATTCCAAGGTCCAGATGATCAAATAAAGGATGATTTTCGCCACCACTTTGGAACATCTCTAGACATTCTCAGAAAATTCATTGATGACTCCATGGTCGAAAAGATAGCTGTGGAGTCGAACAGATACGCTGAGCAAGTGAAGCGAACCTCTCTCCGTGCATTTATTGGTTGGACCCCAGTCACTGCTGCTAATATCTGGCGCTTTCTATCTCTTATTTTGGCCATGACGCTTGTTAAAAAATCATCTTATAAAGAATACTGGTCAATAATCAATAATCCACAACATTCTCACGAAGTTCCCCATAGCACGGAAGCCAAGAGGAAGACCTTCCCAAAGCCGTGTCTCAGTACCCTTAGCGAATATGCATATTCCAGAACGAGTTATGAAAGAAAACGGTTACCCAAGCAAATCCGATTGTTTCCACTGCAAAACAAAATTGGGGAAGAGGACGATTACGCAGTTCAAGTGCCTTGCTTGCGAGAAACGTTTGTGCATTGGTAGCAGCGTCTTCAACTGTTTCAAATTTTATCATGACGAAATGGTAAGTCGAGAACATGCTGTTTATCTTTGCTGAGAATTTATGTAGTGTATTCACAAATAGTTGCAGTTATCGCAGCAGCAGGTATCGCAGCAAGTAGTGCCACTAGCGGATCGCAACGAGTCACAGAACACTGGACAAAATTCACCACGTTACGATTACAATAACTTGTTTGAAATATATAATGCATCCCAAAATCATGATAGTAATGTCATCAATGATGATGATTTACTGTTCGTTTAGTTAATTGTTGTACTACTATGAAAATCAAATCCCACTGTCATGTCAAAAATTTATAGTGTGTGCCATTTGGCTCAGTTATATTGTTGATTTATAATTGAAATTTCATGTTCAAAAAGTGTATAATGTTCTAATTATTGTTCGCGAATCAGTTCTTGGTTCGTAATAAATCAAAACTGCATAAGCAGAATATTCAAAATCGGTTTGCATTAATTCAGTCCCCAACTGATTTTATCACCGCCCCACAACTCGGTCTCAATGGTATTTTGCACCCCAGAAAGTCCGCCCTCAAGAGCAATAGAAACCATTTTAAATTCCGTTTTTAAATGGTATCCAGGTCAAAATTAATTAGTTTTTATAAGGTTAACAGGACGAATTGAGCTGTTGTGATGGGAAACGTTTATTCACTCGTTGAGTCCTTTTACCCACTTCTTTTATATCATTGAAAGACATGTGTCCCATACATATTTGTAACTCCCAACCTGGTTGGTTCTATCGTTGTCCCTTGATACGTATAATCTTGTAAGATCTTGATACTTGCTGTTTTCTACTCTATAGAAATGGCCAATATAATTTGTGTCACTAATCGATCGATACTGAGAAAATTGTGAAAGTCATGCAGATAATTTTCTAGATATGTACTACTTGAATTCATCGGAACTTGATGAAGTAATCGTGTACGTAATCTGAACTTGTAATTAATTTTGTATGGCCTTGTTTGTCCTTAGCTGTTCTGAAGTGGAACTCGAAGGGATTCAGAATTTCACTTTCCGGAGGAAAGTTACAGATGAGTATTCCAAGAATAACTTGTATTTAAAGGGTGTTAATAAAGTCCGATCCCATGCATTTTTTGGAGCGTGGTTGTTACAAATTCAGCTGGAACTTTTGAACCAGTGAAGTTATTTATTTCAAATTTTTACCATGGGAGGAACAACTAAACGTGTAAGTCATGAGCATCTTAGAGTTGAGATACAAACATTGCATCAGCAGGGGCTTAAACCTACAGAAATTGTGCAAAAATTGGGCTGCAGCCGCAGAACTGTTTGGAAATGGAAGAATAAAAATTTTGTCCACGACAAAAAGCGACCAGGGCGACCCAGAAAGGTGTCACCTACCACAAAAAGAATGATTAAAAACAGACTTTGCAAGAAAACCGGTAGTTCATTACGTAATTGAGCAAGGGAGTTAAATGACTCAAAACGCTATAAAGAGAAGAAGAAGCAAATTAACTGTGTGACCGTGCAAAAATTTGTGAAAACTACGAAGTGGGGTCACACAGCTTACAAACTAACCAAAAAAACCTCTCATGTCACAAAAATATATCGATGACCGTCTGAAATTTGAAGAACTCCTTCAGAAAAGTGCCCATTTGAGTGAAAAAAGACTTGGTGAAGAATTGCGCAGTCACATCCTTTGGACTGACGAATCTATTATTGAACTATATCCAAAATTGAACCAACAAAATGTTCGTTACAGGACAGAAAACAAATCGGATGTACCATCAAGAGCGATCCCAAAATTCGGGCTTAAAGTTATGGTAGCGGGTGGATTTTGTGCACGTTGCGTGACCCCTCTACATATCATACCAAAAGGCCAATCAGTCAATGCAAAGCATTATATGGAAAAAATATTACCTATCTATTTCGATAGCATGGGGAACAAGGAAATATTTCCGAATGAAAGAAAAATAGTTTTCATGCAGGATGGTGCTATAGCCCATACAGCAAAAGCGAGTTTGAGTCTCATCAAGACGCAAGTTTCAACGGTCTGGAGCAAGGGGGTGTGGGCCGCTAACGGCCCAGATTTGAATCCCCTGAAGAACCAGTGGTCCATACTTAAGGAAAATGTATACAAAGAGCCACAACCCCGGACGAGGGAAGAGCTAGTAAAAAAAAGTTCAAGATGTATGGAATTCGATTTCCAGAGGCACATTGGAAAAATTAGCACAGAGCCTTAAACAAAGAGTTGAGGGCATGGTTAAAGTAAATGGTAACAAGACCAAATACTAAGGTAAATATGTCGAACATTTTTTGTAAGTATCACGGGTAGTTTTTTTTTATACTAGCCTTCACTTTTTTACAGGAAAAATGGGATCGGACTTTATTAACACCCTGTATGTACCTATACCTGCCTTGAATGTTTTGTTACACCAATCTAAATTAAGGAAAAGGACGACGACGACCACACACCCACATACGCATTCCCCACCGGAACTGCCTGTTATTATGGGAGAAACAAGCATGAATGACTGAATCCCTATTTTTCTGACTGAATGAGTAACGACAAAAAGCGGAACTTCGCTATTTCGCTTTTGCTAGTGATTTTCTTAGAGGGTTAAGACTTTATGAAACGGTGCCCTTCAGTGGTTTCTACAAATGTCAATTTATAAATACTTAATACGTAGTCAAAATGTGGCTTAAAAATAAATTGTAATTATTTGTATTGCCATGAAATTTGTGACATGTTTATATCCAGATCTATCAATCAAATCACGATCCGATTGCGTGTTGACAAATTGAAACGAAATATAAAATTCCAGTCAGGCGTTGTACGTTTTTGCTTTCATTTGGTGACAATTTATTCTGTAAGATAAAAGGGAAAAAATTGGAAACGGTAATTGAAGTGTAAATATCTACAAAGTTTCTTGTATAGCTATTATAATTAGCATATTTAGACATGTATGTACGACTGATGGTATGACTGATAGACCTATAAAATAACTACGCACAAACTTTAATTAAGCCCAAACTTGAACATCAGAAGCATATCTAAAGCTTGCCTACATTCGCAGAAAGGATCACAGGAAGGAGCACATATTTAGTAGTAACTTCAACCTTTTTCGCACACAAAGAGAAAGTTGAACTCCATTCAGTTCCCCGTCTCGTTAAAATGTCCAAATGCATGTTTTCGACACCTCAATTTCCCTTATTTGGGCCAGTCTGAACATCAATCTCCCGAATTTATATAGCACATTTTAAGACGAAATCAAATTATTATTTGCAATTTGGTTCGTCTGGCCAATCCACATTTAAAACCATGCAAAATTTAATCATTTCAAAATAGAGGGAAAGTGATCTAATCAAAAGATTTGTTGACTTTGTCTGTCTGCCTACGTATGCATTTTGTAGACTTTTCCAAAAATGGGTGGTTGGGAATTACATTATTTCTGAGAGGCAAAGATAACATACAAAAATTATACGATCAGTCTGCTCATCAAATTATCAGAGATGATTAAAGAAAGCAGCCAGCCAGTCTGTGCTTGTCTGTGAAATCATTCCCATTGCCACAGGTTATTAGGCTCACTTCACGGGCTACACGAACACCGGCTTATGTACTTCAACGAGTGCTCAGTCTCTGGTTTTGATACACTAGTGAAGGATGCGAATTTCATGACATCTCAGCATGTCTCCTCAGTCTCCTCGACCGGAGTTTCCTGCATTTGATCTTCGACCAGGTGAATGAGACGTTGTATCGAGTTGGAGGCTAGGAAGTTGTGAAATCTCAAATATGAGTATTATGATATTCCAGGGATCTTTGTCTCATTTTACTGTGTACTGTCGTATTTAGTAATGAAGCATAAGGTCTGAGATAACTGACCCAGGCCGCTTTTGACAAAAAATTCTGTGGGCAGCAATTGTTGTACGATCTCATCATTTTCGCTAATCGACAAACAGACTTCAAAAAACATGGATAACTGTACTTTTCTAAACTCAAGTGTGTCGACTTTATCGCCAAATTTTACACTTTCCCTGCCACCAAGAAGAGCAAAATCCATGGGATTGTCCGACGTCGCAATCTATTCCACAGTGGGTGTGTTCTGTTTGGTCATTGACGTTATAACATTTTGGGCAGTAAGGTCACGTCGCGGGTAACACAGATTTCGAAATTATATACTTTATTATACGTTATAGATCTTATGTCCTCCTGATTTACAGACCGCCTACCAACTTCTCGATGCTAAATCTTTTCATCTCTTCCGTTATCGCTGTTGTTTACCCAATCGTGAAAATGCTTAAGGATAACCACCTTATAACAATTGGACCAAGCCCTTGGCTTTGCAATTGCTGGGGCTTCTTTCTACGTGAGTCAACCAATTCAATATGCAAATGTAGGGTAGTGGATAACCTAATATAACATTACCACGTTGCGTTACGATAAGTTCGCTAACGGCCTAATATTTATAATCATACTGTGATGATGAATGTGAGACTAGATGTTGTACATATTTACAATGTCCAACAAGCCATCGGCATTCTGGGCATTAATTACAGCCCTATTTGGGAATAAATTTAAATGCGGGTATGTAAAGCGAGTAAGTAGTGCGTGCCATAAATGCCTAAATCCCATGGGCTTGGACATTGTGTGTACAACTCTATTTGAGACATTCCTTAAGAATTACGAACACCATTTTGTTCATCATTATGCGATAAGCAGCTTTGTAGAGACAATTACTATTTACTTTGTCTGCTGGGGATGTCGTTGCTGCAGTGATGTACTACTTGTGTACTCTCATATTTTGATATACAGGATACTCTCTGGCGCTATTGCCCTCCACAATGGTTGGGATTTTCTACGAGATGACGAACGCTAAGAGATTAAGTCAGACTGGTACTATGTTAAAGGTCAAAGTCTTTCTGTCCGTGTGGGCGGCCACCTTTCTCCTCAGCTTGCCTGGATTGGGGACTTATCGTATGAATGAAGATAGTAACTGCTTAAAGGTATGTATGTGTGTAGGCTACTTTGTTACAATATCATGAATTCTGAGAAATAAGTAAATACGCATAACCATGAAGCCTTATTAGGGCAAATGTACCAAAGAGAAGCTTGGTCTTTATGAAAGCCCCGTGGTATTCCGTATAATCTGTACATGATTAATTCTACTGAATATAAAATAATTTCCAAAATCTTGAACTGCGAGATTTACCTATTCGGTATACCACAATTAAATTCGTTCACGCGGCTTCTGTATTGAATGTTTAATATTTTGAAGTATGTACATTTATGCATACAAGGTACAAATGTAAATATGCACATGTACACTTCTGTGCACGTACATACTTATTTCAACTATATAAAGATAAATAGTAGATGTGCAGGCACTGATAATGGAAAATACTTTTATTGCATTGCTTGTCAGTGTATGCAAATATGAGTTAATCATGTACCGACATTTCTTTATCTTCACAGGTTTGCATTATGGACTCGAAACTACTACAAATTACGTACGAGGGTATTTATACCTTTTTAATATCTGCTGTGCCATCTATTTATATGATTTTTGGTACGACATCATTTTTCTTATCTCTAACTTTTGGATCATCATGGAGTTAATTGTCTAACTTTTCATCATAATTGTAGCCTTGCATAACATGAAGTTTCGTCTCAATTTGTTACTATTTTGTCAGGTAGGTTGATTCGGAGAATTGTGACAAAACTTTAGTTATGGATAACCCGATTCCTTACGGCCTTCGTAAGAAAATTAAGAAAATCCGCTGGGCGTTCTTCTATATGGTTTTCTCTCTCATATTTTGGCTCCTTCCTGGACCATTTATTTTCATTGTTCGCCTCACCAGCAAGAAAGATTGGAGAGAAAGCGGGATAAATTTTACAGACCGTGGTTTAATTGGAACTATCATACACTGTTTTTATTCGGCACAGCTTGTGCTCCAACCCATATTTTTCCTCTATGCTCACAACCAGCTTAGTTTGTGGGACTGGTTGCAACGCTGTCCTCTCCTGAGTTTTATCTGCGCCAGGGCGATAAGGAGGAAACGAGAACGTCAGAGGAACACATTTGAAATTTCGTCCGTGATGAGGATGGAAACTTATGCAGCTACGAGTCAAATTCAGCCAACTTTCAAATATTGAAACCTTTTGTTGTTGCAAATATCGCATAGTTTTCTTTGTCCATATCTTAACTGGAAATACTGCCAAGTAGTAATTGAAGTGTACCTTTGAAGTCGTCATTTCAAAAAAATTCTGTCAACCCTCTGTCCATTTTTGTATTTATTGATATGGAAAAGTGATTTTGATAAATGTGATGTTCTAAAATTGGATGAAAAGTGTGATGTAAATGCTTACACATATAATAAACTAAACTAATCAAGAGCAATTAGAAACACGAGGAAAGAGTGCTTTTTATTAAGAAATACATATGCGTATTATGATCGGTAATCCTTTCAGTAAACGACCGTGGAATGAAATACGTAATGGGTCGCATTTAATGGCGACCCTAAATGACTGAATGGGATACCCTAAGAACTAAACCCTACGGTGGACTGAATGGCCTACCCTAACAGGTCGAAAATAATAGCTAATAACTGAATCTCGACCCTAAGGTTCTGATAGTTGATTTACATCATTTTTTAGGTAATTACATCTCGATTATAATTTATTAAGACCATTTCTCAGAATTGATTCTTAAATTAACCAAAAATTCGTCAACAACAAGGGCTCACTTGCATTTCTTTGGGCTCCTTGGTTCAAGTTTAAACCGAAGAGGTACGTTTTTGCAAATATCAGAGATATTGAAATCTCTGCAGATGTATCCTAGTCTGATTAAATGCTCACAAATATGCTGATTTTTAATTATTTGACAATTATATAGAGAAATCAACTAATTTGATTCTTGTCCTTGTGTGTACGGATTACATACACTCTAAATAAAAATAAGTAAAATTTACTCAAGGTTAAAAAGTGGATGACACAACCAAAAGATACAATTTATCCAACCGTTCTAAAAATTGGAATTCCAAAATTTTGTCCAAAGTTATGTACGTAAAATTTGTCCAACGGGTGGGTAAATTGTGTACAACGTTGTCTAATGTTCACCTTTTGGTAGTGTCATCTTCTTTTTACTCAATTGTGAGTAAATTTCATTTATTTTTATTTGGTATGTATAATTTAGTTATTAAAATATATTGGGACCTTAGGGTAAAGTTTAAGATAAATAAGGATGGTTATTGGCAAGTTAAGGAAGGCCATTCAGTCCAACGTAGGGTTTAGTATTTAGGGTATCCCATTCAGTCATTTAGGGGCGCCATTAATATTTGCCCATACGTAATACCATACGTCGTAAAGCGCAATTGATGGATTGGCGGACAAATGTGCAACGACATGCGTGTAAACGATAAGTGTTCACCCCATGTGCTTGTAATGAAAGTTTCTGAGTGAGTTGAAATTGGAAAAATGTTCAACAAGAGGGATCCTAAGGGGTGACTCATACTGTTAAAAGTAGAAGTTATGTGTCTTTTTTCCCCATGTATTTTAAAACTCCTTCCAACTTTCTCTGTGTAAAGTTGCTCCAATCAGAGTTGGACAGCGTGGAGAGCAACGAGGTGTGGACGATTGTCCGTTGTGAATATTATACTACGAGTTGAGAGTCTGAACCGAGAGGATCGTTATTTCATCTCTGGTCAATAAAAAGTTTTGATTAATTAAAAATCCCTAGGTGGAGAACACTTTAATTTAATCATTACAAGTATAACTTATGTCACTCTCATCACAATTGCACTTGACCAGGATTCTAATTCCGTATTATTAGCTAGCTGGTAGTTAGTTAGATAATACAACATTAGTGGTGACCTCGACGTGATTTGGTCGAGCTGCAATTTGATAAGTGAATAAGTGTTTGTGGTTCCTGCCATCACCGATAAGGATCAAGAAATCCGAGGTCACAGAAGGAGGAACATTATTAATACCGTGTAACTGCCGAGCCGACCAACCTTGTGTCCAGCGAGAGCCCTGCTGACCTGGCGAGGAGGAAGGAAGGAGTACACATTGTGGAGGATATCAACCATCTTGCCTCTTTGAGGACCCCACCCTGAGTATTCGGGGGATTACCAGGTGATATCCATTTTGATTATTCCTTACCAATTCTCGGGAAATTCCTTTGCTGAACCCGTGTGGAAGGACCGACCACAGGAAGAAATTTAGTAGCTGAATTATCACACGTCTGTTTGTCTTTCCTCTTTGAGGGCCCTATCCTAAGCATTCAGGAGTTGTTGAGGTCGTAGCGCCGAAAGAGATAAATTAGACGTGTAGCAAATTATAATATTTCTTTTTTGTTGGATTTGTTGATTTACTGAGATACCATGGAGCTGCTGAAGCAGGCCAGGAGACCAACTAGGACATCGATTACCAAAACCGTCAACGAAATGGAGACAGAGTTGGCGAAGGAGACACCAGATCGTCACAAGCTTGGTGTTCAGACGAAGAAGCTGGATAACTTACGAGTCAAGATGAACGACTGAGACTCTAAGATTTTGGAAGAGATGCAGAAACAAAAATGCAGTAATGAAGAATATGATCAAGAATGTGCGGAAATCGAAGTGTATGAAGATAAAATCCTCGATATCCAGCTCAAGGTTGGAGAACTGCTGCGTCCTCCGTCACCAGTATTTCCCTTACGACAAAGCAGTCCAACCAATAGTGCAAACTGGTACGACTCTGTTGCGGGATCTACATCAAAGAAGAAAACCTTCAAACTTCCCAAGATTCAACTCAAGAAGTTTTCTGGTGATTTGAAGGAGTGGCTTGGATGGTGGTTTCAATTCTCAAAAATTGATGAAGATGAGGAGTTACATCCAAGTGACAAATTCCAGTATTTATTGCAGTGCATGGTGGTTGGTTCCAGGGCAAGAGGACTCGTCGAAAGTTTCCCCATGACCGCTGAGAATTACCCCAAAGCTATCAACGCCCTGAAGGAGCGATTTGGCAAGGAGAAACTACTCCAACAAGTGTACGTTCGGGAACTACTGCGTCTGGTCATTACGACAGCCAAGTCAAAGGAACAGATAGTTTTGGCCGAACTTTATGATAGTGTGGAGACACAACTACGCTCGTTAGAGTCTCTTGGCATCAAGCCAGAACACACTATTCAGTTTTTGTTCCCAATGGTGGAATCATGCCTTCCTGAAGAAATCCTCATGGCCTGGCATCGAAGCCCACTACGGAAAGAAGATGGAAGCAAATACGTCCCACAGAAGAATGAACTCGACTTTCTCATGGAATTCCTCAGAGAAGAAGTGGAAAGTGAGGCAACAATGAAATTAGTGAAATCTGGATTTGAGTCGTCAGTGACGTTGAAGGACGATAAAGCAAAAGCCAGTAAAGGTGGTAAATTCTCAGATACTGTGAAATCTCAGAAGATCAAGGAAGACAACATTCCAACCGCCGCTGGACTATTTGCAGGACAGAAGCATTACACGTGTATCTTCTGTGCCAAGTCCCATCCCAGCCCTGAATGTTTTCTTGCACAGACGATGTCAAGAAAAGAAAAGGAAGACAAGATTAAGGAGAAGAGGTGCTGTTTCAACTGTCTCCAACCTAATCATCGGTCAACTGATTGCAAATCATTAGTGAAATGTATTTTGTGTGGGAAGAGACATGTGGTGTTAATGTGTCCCAGTCTCTCAAAGCAAATCTACAGTGATGAGGACAAGAAATCTCCAAAGAAGGATTCAGATTCATCATCATCAACAACAACAATGAATGGAATGGCTATGAATAGTCACACATGTTCCGGGGACGTTCTACTCCAGACTTTGGTGGTTCGACTTTACAATGACGACGGCAAATACAAATTAGCAAGACTCGTTTATGATAACGGAAGCCAAGGGACTTCAATTTGTGTGAGGACCGCTCAAGATTTGGGGTTGAAGCCAGTTGGGGAGAGCTGCTCTCGTAAAGTGCTTTACGGCGGACAGGTCACGGACATGCAGAAACATTACAAGTACAATTTACGAGTAACCAATATTGACGGCACAAATGGACGGACTCTGATCGCTATGGATGAGCCGGAAATTTGTGGGCGATTAAGCCGGGTTCCAAGGGGACCGTGGTTGAAGGAGCTCGCTGCAAAGAAGATTCGTCTCAGCGACTTCAAATCAGAAGATGCAGACATTGAAGTTTTAGTTGGCAGTGACTACTATGGCCAACTAATAACAGGACGTGTTGTTCAACTAAAGTGTGGACTGACAGCCATCGAGTCGGTATTCGGATGGACCCTGTGCGGAAGAATTCCCAGGCAAGAAAATACAGCCTCCGAGGTGCTATCTGCTGCCCTGATGTCATGTCAATCCAGTTTGTCTGAGTTGTGGAGTTTGGAAACTCTTGGAATCTGTGAACCTGCTCAAGTCAAGATGAAGACGGACAGGGAAGACGCAACCAGAAAACATTTTGAAGATACGGTGTCCAGACAAGAGGATGGACGCTATTCAGTTCGATTACCTTGGGCGGATGGAACTCCCGTTATTCCAAATAATAAATCAGTTGCTATGAAGAGATTGGAGTCCACCACCAAGAAGTTACGAGATGCTGGCAAATACGAAAATTATGACCAGATCTTTCAGGAGTGGTTGAAGGAAGGATTCGTGGAGAAAGTAAACGACACGTGTAGTGACCATGAAGTTGGAGTCCATTACCTCCCTCATCATGCGGTGTTCAAGCCACAAAGCCTCACCACACCAGTTCGTCCAGTTTTCGATGCATCATGCAAGACTGGAAGAAATCCCTCATTGAATGATTGTTTGGAGAAAGGCCCGAATAATCTTGAACTTATCCCATCATTGATACAAAGGTTCCGAGAGAAGAAAATCGGCGTCATCGCAGACATCCGTAAAGCATTTCAAATGGTCGGAGTTGATGAAATTGACCGTAATTATCTCCGGTTCTTATGGTGGGAGGATTACGCCGCGAAGAAAGTGCAAGTATTCCGGCACAAGCGAGTGGTTTTTGGTGTCAACAGCAGCCCATTCCTATTAGGAGCTGTGATATCATTACACCTTAATGGAGTCGCCGATGGAGCGACCGATGGAACGACCGATGGAGTGACCGATACCCGAAAGGAGATTGCACAGAAGCTATTAACATCCCTTTACGTGGACAACTGTGTTACATCAGTCAACTCCAAATCAGAATTTGAAGAATTTAAGACGACATCCATTCAGCTCCTAGCAGAAGCGAAGATGGACTTACGTCAGTGGGAGTGTGGCTCTGCGGAGGGATCCGGAATCGGCTCAACCGAGTGCGGGTTGGTGACTGGTGGAGACCACACCCCTCAAGAACTGACAAGTGTCCTAGGACTGAAATGGAACAAGACTGAGGACTACTTGATGGTAGAAGTGCCCAGAGTGGAGCTGCCAGAAGTAATAACTAGGCGTGTAATCTTATCCCAAGTACAGAAGATCTTCGATCCAATGGGATTTTTGAGTCCAGCGACTTTAATTCCGAAATTGATCCTCCAGAAGACTTGGGAGTCGAAGTTAACATGGGATGAAGATCTACACGTGCAAATCAAGAAGCAGTTTGTGGAATGGTGGAACCAAGCCGTGACTTTGGAGCAAATCCACATCCCAAGACATGCTATTACATCAACCAATCGAGAAGACCTGCAACTTCACACATTCTGTGACGCCAGCCAGGGAGCTTATTCGGCTGCAGTATTTGTGAGAGTTGACAGAGGAAGTGACGTGTCAATCCAACTTCTTCAAGCAAAGTCGAGGGTGGCACCGATCGACAAAGTAACAATTCCGAGACTCGAACTGCTGGGATGTACCATCGCTGCACGTCTCACAAAAGCAGTCAAGGAAGCCCTGTCCTATGAAGATATCCCTACATTTTATTGGAGTGACTCCACCACAGCCCTTGCTTGGATTCGGAGGAATGACGAATGGGGAACTTTCGTGGGGAATAGGGTGAAGGAGATCTGCTCACTTACGCGTGTAGAGCAGTGGCGCCATGTTCCAGGGAAGATGAACCCTTCGGACTTACCTTCGAGAGGATGCTCGCCAAGTGAACTACTTGACAGTCGTTGGTGGGAGGGTCCAGGGTGGCTCAAATCCTCCGAAGATCAGTGGCCGAAACCAACGAGTGAGGAGAATGAAGAACTCATCATGACGGAAGTTAAGAAGAAATCGATTGTTCAGATGAGCGCAGTGGATACCACCAAGCCGCTTTGGTATATTCACCATTCGTCCTTTACCAGAAATGTACGCCGTGTTGCATTAATCATGAGATTTATCAACAAGTGCAAAAAGAAAACTTCAGAAAGTGGAGTGTTGCAACGGTGGGAGCTTGATCAAGCCGAGAAGAAATTATTCATCTTTGTGCAGCAAGAAGCCTTCCCTAAATTTACGAGATCAACTAAACGTGAAGGAGAGGGAATAATTGCTGGCTTGAGAGTGACCGTGGAAGAAGATTCACGTTTAATTCAAGTCATGACCAAGCTCACCCATCGAAGTGAAGATACCAACATTTTCCGGAAACCGGTGTTACTCCCGAATTCGCATCCATTGGTGGAACAACTCATCACGGAAGAACACATCCACAATGGACATGCCGGGGCACAATTCCTAATGGGACGATTACGAGAAAGGTGTTGGATCATTCAAGGCCGAAGAGCCGTGAGAAAGATAATCAAGAGTTGTGTCATCTGTCGACGACACACTGCAAAGGCCCCCGTATTACAACAAGCTGCGTTGCCTGAAGATCGTGTCAAGAACGCCGGAGTATTTCAGACGACTGGAATAGATCTTGCTGGGCCGCTATTCTTGAAGGATGGGTCAAAAGTGTGGTTCGTCATATTTACCTGCGCCGTCTACCGAGCAATTCACCTGGAACTTGTCTCAACCATCAGTACGGACGCATTTTTGTTAGCGTTGTTCCGTTTTATCAGCCGCAGAGGCCGACCGTCAACTATCTACAGTGACAACGGTACCAACTTTGTGGGAGCGGACAACTTATTCAAGAAAATGGATTGGAAACGGATCGAGTCTGCTACACGTATAGCCAAGATCACCTGGAAATTCAACCCTCCTGCTGCAGCGTGGTGGGGTGGATTCTGGGAACGGCTCATCCGTAGTGTCAAGGACTTATTAAAGAGGATGCTGGGCCACGGCAAGTTGGATTACGAACAGCTTTTGACCTGTTTATGCAAAGCTGAAGCAGTAATCAACGCTCGACCACTTACCCTGGTGACCGAAGATCAGGACGATCTCATCCCCCTTACTCCATCAATGTTTATTCAAGACATCATGGAGACCAATTGTCCAGAAGTGGAAATCTTAGATGGAAGAGATCTTAACAAGAAGTACAAAGAGATGAAGACCTTACACGTTGAACTGCGCAATCGCTTCCGAAAAGAATATTTTGGGCAGCTAGTTCAACGCGGAAAATCCCAAAACCCACTCTCTTTCAAAATTGGTGACGTCGTTCTCATCGGAGACGACAACAAGAAGAGATTGGAGTGGCCGATGGGTAGAATTACCTACCTGTATCCCGGAAAAGACGGCATTATCCGAGTGGCGAGAGTCAAGACCGCTACTAATCAGTTCCTGCGGCCCCTCCAACGCTTAATCCCACTGGAAGTGTCATCTCATGTGGAACTTTCCCCAATCCCCAAGGAGATCATGGAGAAAGCCATCATTAAGAAAGAAGAAATTCAGTTTCAAGAACCGGAAGTCATCACCAGAACGGGACGACGTGTCAAGAAACCCACCCGATTTGGAATGAATTACAAGTGTATAAATAATGGTGCATAATATTTTAAGTATTTTATGAATGATAATTGCAATATGTATGTGTATGTAAAGTTTAAGTCATAAGTTTTCTTTTACTTTAATCAATTTATTACTTAGTTTCTTCCTTTTGTTGTTCACAAAAGGGGTGGGAGGATGTTAAAAGTAGAAGTTATGTGTCTTTTTTCCCCATGTATTTTAAAACTCCTTCCAACTTTCTCTGTGTAAAGTTGCTCCAATCAGAGTTGGACAGCGTGGAGAGCAACGAGGTGTGGACGATTGTCCGTTGTGAATATTATACTACGAGTTGAGAGTCTGAACCGAGAGGATCGTTATTTCATCTCTGGTCAATAAAAAGTTTTGATTAATTAAAAATCCCTAGGTGGAGAACACTTTAATTTAATCATTACAAGTATAACTTATGTCACTCTCATCACAATTGCACTTGACCAGGATTCTAATTCCGTATTATTAGCTAGCTGGTAGTTAGTTAGATAATACAACACATACCGATTTTCAGAAATTGTCGTAAAAATCAGAAATTCGGCACGGTGATACCTAATGACTTCTCATGAAAGAATATGAAGTTGAAATTGAGCAAATTGTACCCAGGTTGACGTTCCCAATAGTTCCCATACCGGTTTTTAGAAGTTGCTATTTCAGCTGAAGTTTGGTAAGGAGGCTAAAATGGCTTCTGCGGAACAAATATAACTTAATATTTAAAAGAAGTGAGCCCCCTGGTTCTGGTGAACAAGGGGGACACACTGATGGTTTTTATTTCTTTGTTTTTCCAAAATTTTTTCATTCAACAATAGGATTTTACACATTTATCGTTGGCATATTTATTGGGCTGCACATTTATCGGACTGCACATTTGTTGTTTACATTAGTGTACTAGTGTACATATTGTGTATGTACATCTGTCGGATGTACACAATCCGAAATGATGTCAGACAATTTTATGGTTTAGATTAATTTGTAATCAATTATATAACGAATCATTCGCAATATAAAACTACTAAATTTTGACGCATTTCATCGGCAATCAGAATTGACTCAGAATACCTAACACAGCCACAGATTAATTCAGTACTTCATTATGTTGTCTCTCAAAACTGTATTATTAGGTCAATGCTAATCTTGAACTGAATTTGAGCTTTTAAGGACGATATCTAGGAAACCTGTGTAGTTAGTTGTCGTGCATTTATTTTATTGTATTCCAGTCACGGTATGAGGAATTGAGGACTGGATAATCAATTTGCAATATTCAATCGATGAAACATTGCTGAAATACAGGCACAAACCTTTTTACCCCAAAAATGTTCCTTCTCGCCATCCTACTTTTCATACTAGGAATTTCTTCAATTATTTTGAAAAAGTTACAAATATCTTACTTCGAAAAAGTGGCTAGTTGGAGGAACTGCCTTATTTTCTGTATCATCTTACTTTTCCTTGGAACTATATATATCCAACAATTCAAGAATGAAGACAAAGGTAATGCGGTGAGGCCGAGGCCAATTCTAAGGCAAAATTCAAAAAATATTGCAGCACCATTAAAATCTGAGAGGTAAAATAAATTAGGTCCATCTTAATTTTAATGGTTGGACAAACTCCAATCTTCTGTTCACTTTCAGTCCAACATTTAAGCATGACATCACCATCCACGACAAATGGATTGTTGTCACATCAATCTCTCAACCAACACCCCAAGTTGAAAAGTTATCACAAATTGCAGGATTTAAACTGGTTATCGTCGCGGATATGAAGACTCCATTAAACTGGACCTTCTCAAATCCAGACACAGTTTTTCTATCGACTGAAACACAACTTCAGCTTGGTTACAAAGTGTTGAAATACTTACCGTGGAATTCATACACGAGAAAAGTGATTGGATACTTGTATGCAATTGAGCATGGGGCGCAAGTAATATACGACACAGACGATGATAATGCTCCCGATGACTTGGCTCATTTTGCGAACCATTTCGCATTCCATGCTAAATCTATAACGAGAGGTTTACTTGTGACAAGGTAATTCTTTAGTGGAAATAATGTTAATGTCACAATTTAATTTTTAATCTCTTTTTCTGATTTTCAGCCCAAACCACACCGAACTTGATCACAACCTCTTAAAAAATCCGTATGCCCACTTTGGTCAAACTTCCGTATGGCCGAGAGGCTACCCTTTGGAGCACATTGGTCTTCCTCATTCTAACGTCTACACGCTTTGTTCCAACCTTTCCACTCCGTTAATTCAACAAGGCCTAGTTAACGGTGGGTCTAAAAATAATTGATGGAAAAATGACATTATCCTCTAAAAGTAATGCATTCATTTATTTTAGGGGACCCCGACGTAGATGCTATTTTCAGACTTTCTCGAAAGAAATACTATTCCCCACTTGAAATTACCTTTGACACCTTCGCCCCGCCTGCGATCTATCCTCCAGGAATATTTGCTCCGTTCAACTCTCAAAATACGGTATTCCTGTACAACGCCCTGTGGTCACTACTTCTCCCAACGACGGTCGCCTTTAGGTAAATAATTTACGATTAATAAAACAGCCATATTTATTAAATGATACTAGTTAATGAACAATTTATTAGTTAATCTTATGCAAAAAAAGAACATGACAATTTTCACTTCTAAATGCAGTATTTCTATTGTTAGAGTCACAGATATATGGCGTGGATACTGGGCGCAACGCCTGCTTTGGGAGCTTGACAGTCATCTCGGGTTTTATTCTCCGCACACAATCCAACTCAGAAATGCTCACAATTATCTAAAGGATTTTGCAGAAGAGGATCAGATTTACAAACAGACGGGACATTTAGTGAAGCTCTTGTCCGAGTGGGAATGTCCTCAAAAAGATTCTTTTTTCGGATGCATTGTTGCTCTGACGGAACACATGGCAGGGAATGAAATGTGGGGGTTTGAAGAGGTATCCCTGGTGCAAGCTTGGCTTGAAGATTTGAAATCGGTCGGTTATAAGGAGCCAGAACGTGGACAACAATGGAAACGGAATACTAATTCTTCAAAAATACCTTCTCAAGGGACCCTCGCTATTTTCAATGGTGTTGATACGACAGTTAATGTTCGAGAGGATTCAGTGGTGAAATTAACAAGTTTCTGCAACTTTACAGTACCTCCAGCCTCACTGAATTCCTCCGCAAACGATACCAACAATATGAGACACGCAGCACCATTTGCTTCAACCCTTTTAATTGTGACGTTCAATATTCCACATTACAGCAACATTCCTCTCCTTGATTACATATATCGACCCTTTTATCCCAACATTCTGTATTGCGGAGATCTTAAAAGTGCGAAAGAGCTGGAAAACATTACTTCTCCCATCTCGTTCGTCCACGCCCCCATTTCCAACGGGTATTTCGCATATGATTGCGCCTTGAAAGCGATCGAGATGAGCTATTCTTCCGGTATCACATCGTACTTTGTTCTCTCGGACGACATACTCCTCAACTTTTGGAACTTCGAGAAGCAAGAAGTCATAAATATTCTTGACCCCGATGAAATGTGGGCTTATCGAGATCACTTCACCGATATTGATACCGCAGTTCCGTACAATTCTACTGTTTGGGGAGGATGGGGCTGGTGGAGGGGGCCGTATGGGTTAAATGCAACGATACAAGCGTTGCAAGCTATTTACTCTAGTGATGACGCTAACGTCGAAAAATATAGGAAAAACAGGGCAGAATTTGGCATAAACGAAACTGCAGGGACGTACGGAGAATCTGACATTTTTCAATTGCCTACGAGTAAACAAGAAATTTTCTATGCGGTGGGAAACATTTTACTAGAATCAAAAGTATTTTTAGAGATTGCGGTCCCCTTCTTGGTAAACGGAATTTCGCCTCGGGAAAGGGTGGGAAACATGTCCGGTCTTATTTTGTGGGGTGGACAGCGGGACACGGCATTAGACCAGTTTAAAGATGAAACTATATTAATACATCCCCTTAAATTGAGTGCCGTTGTGAGTGACGCTGGGATTAGAGGAAAATATTGTGACAAGTATGTCCGACGAGTTTTAAATAGTTATTAAACTCGTATAAGAATTTTTAAACTAAGTGAACAACATAAGAACATGTGTAATCAGAGAATTTTTGACTTCCTATCAAGATTTAATAGTTCGCAAAATCAATATGCAAATAATAACATATTTCAAAAGAGCCTACAGATACTTATCTGCTTATGTGCATACGTACATAGATACTACATAAAATGTATGCACATGTTCCTAAAAGTACTTGTATATGTAATCAAGGCTGTGTACGGTTATTGTACTTATGGAGAAAAGTATAAAAGGATGCTGCCAGATACCAATTTTTTTGTACATACTCTATTTATAATCTATTTATTTATTTTATAATCATAATCTATTTATTACCAAACTTTTGGTTGTAAGCTACATATCTATTAATATGAATGATGAATAAAAATACCTGGGTTGACTACTTTACAAATATAAACGCATATTTGCAATTCACTTATTAAATTACGAAGTTAAAATCAAAAGAGAGTTGCGTTCGGAAAGGAAACGAAGGTGGGAAGGAATCCCACTCACTTCAACTTAAGTTGACCAAATTGGATTAATTGAAGATAAGACCAGGCAAAACATCAAACCATGACTTATTATACATACACATGTTGGAATATATTTATGTACGAATAGATGCAGAACATACATACGATAGAGTGTTTGAATTCATGACCCATGAGTCATGTGTCATGTGGTTTGTTCATTTAGGCAAAATCAGGATATTCTCTTCAGCACACAAAATTATGTTGTCCCTTGAACTTAACGATTGCATCTTAATTTTATGAGTATGTAAAATGTTCGTCATGTACAAAATGTTTTATCAAACGCTCTGTTCTCACCATCCTGTAACCAGTTTGACTGTGTAGTACATTCCGTCACTTCTTCTCCGTGGTACGGGGTGACGGGAAGGCCGTATCAAATTATGTTGACGGTAGTAAGCAAATACTTACATAAATATCTACGTGAAAATGTGTATATGTATGTACATAGTTGCGCCATTATTATTGCAACTGCGCTAATGTACGGCTGGACTGTGTGAACCTATTTGATAAGCCGTTCATCATCAATACTATGTAGTTTGCTGAGAAAACATACAGAATATGCATCAGGAGACCAGCTACTATAAAATGAGACACGAGATTGCATTTGATGCTACGACTTGATTGATATTTCTGACTCATCAAAGTGAACAGTTGTGTTTATGCGTTTGCATGAGACTGACGCTTTCAGGAAAGTAAGAAAATTCATCCAAAACCAAACTGTAAGTTGGAAAACCAAATGGACACCATTACAGAAAATGAACTACTTCTTAAGGTAAATTATTAATTACCTGATTAGTTAATTGTACAATTTCTTAAATGTTGCCGATCACTAATGCTGCATTTGTAGTTTAAGGATCTCATGAATCAAGGCGATGGGGAAGAAGCCAAGTTCAAGGATTGTGATTATCTCAGATTTCTTCGAGGTAATGTTATGATTTGTAAATTGTGCTTACCTGTAATTTTTCACAACTATAAATTAGCCATGTTATGTTACAGCAAGAAACCATCAAGTTGACAAAGCAGAGCAAATGATGGCCAAGGTGAGAATTGTGAAACTGCATAAAACTGTAATAGTCAAACCTAACTTTTTACACACAATTTCCCGACAGCATTTGGAGTGGAGAAAGCAAGTCAACTTCGATACGGCGGATACTTGGGAAATTCCTGAAATAATGATCAACGGATTTCCGTATTTTTTGGATGGAGTGGATAAAGATGGACGATCTGGTCAGTAGATAATTTTTTAATCCAAATTTAGATACCAGACTTATTTGTTCTACTTCTTTCGCAGCTTTCTATTTTCCTGTGGGACGCTGGCAAATGCGGCAGCTAGTCGTGGGTGGTTACAAGTCAGAAATTGAGAGACATATGTACCATTCGATGGCCAAACTGGCGAAAATCGTTGAAAAGAGTAAAAGAGAACAGTTCGTAGTTATTGTTGATCTCGCTGGACTGTCGTATTGGCAGGTTGCGCATTACGATGGTGAGCAATATTTGGTATATGCTCGCGATTCAATTATGCATAAAATATTCTATGATTTGATTATTTTTTGCAGTTGTACAAATGATGTTACGAGTTTTGCGGGAGTATGAACAAAATTTTCCGGAACGACTGCATGCCGCCGTAGTAATTAATGGTAAAGATTTTAAATCGCTTGTGATTATTAATGCTGGATTATAATATTTTTCGTGCAATTAATTTTCAGCACCGTGGGCCCTCAATATCATTTTCCCATCCATAAAATCTGTCCTGACGGGAAATACCATTCAAAAACTGAAAATATTTGACAGCAATTCCAGCAATTTCTTGCCACATTTGTTGGACCTAGTCCCACCTAAAGGACTTCCTGACGGGTTTAGGGAACACAATCCCAAGCTCGTGAGCTTGTTGAGAAATGGTAATAACAACTGAAATGGATAACGAGTTATATGCAACTTGTAAATATGTAATAGTTTCCACTTTTTTCACGACAATTATTTCATTGACATCAAGTATTTATCTGTACAATCTTTCTTTTTTCCCTTAAAGTTCCACGGCAAATGACGACGTGTGGTCATGAGACTTGAGCCGCATACTTACCGCATACGACTCCCTCATGTGACTATGACTGCTATGGACTGTGAAACACGGACAACAAAGTTCTTCTGGGATTTCTAGATTGATAAGTAAATAACGCATGCAGATTTTCCTTGGCTTCTTAGATGAAGCTGTTATTTCCTTTCGCAGTGTTGTTTTTAGATATGTAGTTAAACCATTCGTGGGAAAGTGAGATTCCAAGGTTCACGAAGAGTATTTATGCATGTGGGATTGATACTGGTAGTGGTGTAATAAATAATTCTAATTAATTGTGATATATAGATTATAAGTAAGTACTACATACAAGTAGACATAAGTAATTGCGCAATAGCGGACAAAGAAATCAGTTGACTTGCTCAAAGTCTAGATGACCAGATTAATGATACGTACATACATATTTGCCTGGAACGTTGCATGTCACGTAAAACCGTCAAAGTCTACCGATAATTATTGCTGATCAATTATGTAACCTTGTATTTACAACTTAGATATTGACGATATTGTTAGTTTACGACAGAATAGTCACGTTATATGTACGTACATTGGATAATAATAACGTACTGATTACTGTACACCTGCATTCTCACGATGACACGATTAACTGTACTCTTTTAGGTAGCTGACTGCCTGGCCTACGTATACCAATTAACACTTGTAAATATATTATCTCCATAAATATACTGTAACATTTGCAAAACCAATTATGCAATTATGTATGCAGTTGAAATTTAATTTTGGATCTGACTATATGTGAAGTGAACTCATGAAATAAAAAATTGGGTGTAAATGTAATGGAAAAAAATGTGTCTTGGTTTGCGTCAGTTTTTATTAGTTGTCGAATAATGCTAATACTCGTCTTCATAGTTCATGTTGATAATACCAATCCACAAAGTATGACCCAAGTCCTAAAAGATCAAAAAAGCAGTGATACTCTTTCCCACATTTTACGTCAGAGTATTTCCCAGTCCACGCAGCCTTTTTGAAAGGTGACGATAATTCCAACTTCCTCATATCAATTTGTGATGACGATGAAGACGGCCTGAGAAAGAATTGTTTACTCGTCAGCAGATATTGTACGTAACATTTTTTTTCTTTGTAAAATTACATGGTTGCTATTACTTATTCTGCACAACTTACGGACATAAAAGTTGAAATGGAACAGCTAGCAAGCCATACTGCTTGTTATTTGGGAACCGATGCGATTCACAGACTGCACGTTGAATGCAACTCGTCCCATCAAGTCCAATTTTGTTGGAAAGGTCGGATGTTTTTGTCATAAAATTGAAAATTGTGGGAGATTCCATTAACCTTTTCAGCGAATGCTTGCTATCTGTTATTGACCCAAGACTTCGATCTGCCTCGGCGAGATCGGGATGTCGGACGGATGTAAAAATTGCAGGCAGGGCGAGAAACACGGTGGCAACGACGATTGCAAAAATACCAAAAATTGCCTGCAAAAGGTTATGGTTGTAATTTCTGCAGCGTATTTTTTGTGAGGTGCAGATAAGAAGATACCTGATTTGCCAAATCTAGATCTGTTTCCGTATGGGTAGATTTACGAGGAAGGGAAAAGGAGAAAAGGCTAATCGTGGTAGCGTAAGACGTGTTGAACAAACGGCGTTGTATCAATGGTGGATAGGAAACTGTTTCCTGTGAAATAAATGGAAATTCAAAATTAGTCACTATTTTAAAATATGAAAATCTTTCTCACCTCATTTGACGGACTAAGGAGCAAATCAGTCAAAGTGTCCATATTCTGCGGATATGCTACTTTTACGTGCAACATAACGAAGAACAAAAATATTTGGCGTGAACCAGTCATTTCAGAAAGTCAAAAATGCTACGAGGTGGATATCAAGTTGAGATTATCTGGATTATTTTACAGAGAAATTTGAAGCTCAACCTAGCAATCTGGGGACTACCATTTTGACTACATAACGCCTTATGCTAGTGAATAATTTAAACCCGCGTCAAGTAATAACAGGACAAAAATTATCGTCGAATAATGATTTTAATGCATGCGTACCTAAATACATAAGAAGCCAGCTAACCTTAACATTTCAATTTTTATAACTTTGTTGTAGTATACATAGCTGTTTATATTTTCATGTTGTGTTCTTATTACGCATTACAAAAGTACTACTTCCAAAAGTGGCAAGCAATTAGGTACACACGTCTAATTCATCATATCCATCCAGGATCTCATTCCACTTTGTTTGTTTCCCATGCTGTCTGGTTTCTCAAAGCATGTCAAAAGGCTGTAAGAAGATTACTTGGGATTAATCTGTCTGCATCATTAATACAAATTTGAGCTTGCTCTGAACATGTTTGATGAATGAATTGTTTGTTGCAGCTTTGCCCCTTGTGTAATGCATGTTTGTGCAGTTAGTTATCTGAATTTGCGATGATGGAAGATCTATTGTGTGCTTAGAGACTATTGCGTCGTTTGCTTTCACTAAACACAGAGAATATGAATTAAGACAATGATGTATTAATAATTACATAGTAATCCTAAGATGGTGACAGTGATGGAGAGATTACAAAGTTACCATCACAGTGCAAAATTAATAAGTAAAGATGCTTTTAGAAAGATCCAGGGAAATTTCGGTTCCAAATCGTCTACTACTTTTGTATCAGCCAAAGGAAAAATAAAGTGCTTGCTTCAAGTCAGCAATTTTTTCACAAACCATGCACATCTTTGTCATGCATTGTTTCTCACAATTTGCAGAGAAAGCATATCTCCAGCCAAATTGACTACAAAAAGCAACGTACATATATTACGTAGTATTTACGACTAACTTTTTTATTTATGCAAGCCCAACTCTTGCCTAAACTTAATCAGGATGAAAGCAAAGTCAAACTCGTATTCGGACGTATGCATGCATGCAACTCTAAATCTGGGTGGTACGAATAATAGTACCGCATCGCAATCCGAGAAATCCTATCTCCTTTTCTTCTCATGAAATGTATGTATAACTGTGAAAGTAAGTAATATCTGTGTCAGCTCGCTTGGTCCCTTTCAAGTCTAGCGTGAAATTGTGTGCCGAAGATTATCCTTCCTTTTTTGAAGAAGAAACGATTTATTTCACTTCTCTCCTACAATGATTACCTGTCTCCCTTTTATCTGCGTGTGGAAAACGACGACACTTTTTGTTCCTAGTTAAACGAGCAATAAATCATCTTGCTTCTTGGAGGGTGCACGCACGTCAACTCCCGTGCTTTCATTCATACTTAACATGGTGCTACCAGGCACGGTTAGTTACCTACGTGTAGATACATATAGCCTGCACAAAATTGTTTATCTCGCATCCACTCCACGGCCATTAATCTATATTCATGGCAAAGCAAAAAGGATGAAAGTATGTGCAAAAAATAAAACAAGGCCGGAAAAAAATGGTGAGAGTCGATGTAGTGAAAGAAGCAAAGAACTCTCTGGTGAGATCTTGTTGGCTGCTTGCTGGCGACTTTCCCATGAATCCCCCAAGCCAAATCAATCCCGTGTTCGTGTTCCTTGATTTTTTTTATTAGCGAGTACCTCCGGCACCTCGGCTGCAGGAAGAATCAGAATACAAAAACGTAGTTAGTTAAGTGCTTGGTTATATGAGAAGAGGATACGGAAGAAATCTATACGATCGGGGCGGGGATCGGGTGTCCAATCCTTGCGGCATGAATTAAATTACTGCTTTCTTTTCTTACTTATTAGGTTTGCTATAGAAGTGCAAACTAGCTGAGAGTTGTGCATATACCAGAATTGAGTACGAATACGAATTTTTGCAGCATATTGTAGAAAACTTTTATCAAACTGATTTCGTCAAGTATGTAAACTAAATAATTTCATCGATGGTCATATGTACATACGCTTTACCAAAATATCATCACTATTTTTTGACACACACAGAACAAATATTTTTTCAATTACCCTGTAAAGTAATATATTTGGGTCGATGAACCTCACCAGTAGCCACACTTAGGTACACATAGTTAGTCGGGATGAATATTTGAAACGTGCAGCTGCTCAAGTACAAAAGGCTTACACACATACGTATATCCTTCCTCTGCGCTCATTTTATTTCCATGCATATCTTCTTCAAAGTTGTATATCCGACGGGAGGGTAGTTTGCTGTTAGAGACGTTTGTGGTGGTGAAAGGTGGGATCGGATTGAATATCGCATGCATACGGAGAAAGAGTTTGTTGAGGTGTGAATCGTGATGAGCTGAGTTCACCCGTGGGGATTTTTTGCTTTGCTTTTCCATTAGTCCCAAGAGTTAACGATGCCGAGCATGAGGCAGGCGAGCAGAAAGTGAGGAAAAGACAGAGAGAAGAGAGGCAGGTTTGCTTTCAAAGGTGAGTGAGCTATGAGCGACGGAATTATATAATATTCATGCCTTCATATGTACAGTTTTGTCTGATGGAGGTGCAGCACGAGGACTGATAGCAAAGGAATAATAAGTAACAATGTTGTAACGGGATGGGAGATTTCATCCCATTTTCGCTTAATGTACATCATTTGTCAACTAACCGCATAATGGAGTAGCTTCATGTCCGACAGTGTAAATATGTGTTGACATGAAAGAATGCATTATCCATGCTCCTCTCAGGGGGGACACTAATAAATTGAATGTTTTCCACTAAAAGCATATAGTTAGAGCATAGGATGGAGACTGGAAAATGTGTCACTTTGCTACTACCTCTTGTGTTACTGCCTATTGGTTCGGAATATCCGTCCGAAGGGTAATATTCCATTATTTCTCATTCGTCCTATCTAGTAACCAGCCAGGCAGGAGAGCCACATAAGCTCGAGTGGAGTTCAGTTGGGTGAGTTGTCACCATGCTAAGGCTGCAAAGGAGAGGAGGAGAAAGTGAAAGTGGAGAAAGTTTTGCAGGAGACAGAACTTAAGCCAGCCACCAAGTAGCAGCAGAAGCATAGGCCACCCGAGCTGAGTTGGTTGCTCATTGTCAGTTTTGCCTCCTACTTGCACTCTTGCCATGTATGGTCCGTATTATATGCTCACATCCATCCACTACTGTACTCTTATTCACCCGGAACCAACTTTTTCCGGTGGAATTCGGGAGGGAGTTTCTCTCTCGTCTTGTCAAAGTCTCTGAGAGCTGGGAGCTGTGATTCTGTGATGGTCTTCCTCTTATTCTTCTCTCTCTCTCTCTCTTTACTTTCGCAGTTGGGAGGACAATGGAATATTTTTGCAATAACTTTTCCAGCTCAGAGGCGATATAACAAGAGAGCAAACTAGATCTCAACAGACCACATCTTCCTCTTCTGGAGCTCTTGTTTGTACTTGGGCCGAGCTGAGAGAAAGCATCGCGGTGGTGATCGTCGTCGTCGTAAGTAGTTGGACAGGAAACATAGTTTCAGACACGCACAGAAAGAAAGAGAGAAAGTCCGTCTCGTGAAAAAAGTAGGAGTTGATTATTACGTAATGTGACGACGAGTATAGCAGTTTTGCACACAAACAACGTGTTGTTGTTCTTTTTCTCCTCTCGTCGCATCGCATCTGCCACTTTCATCCTTTCCAATGCTCATCATAGTGAATTGTTTGCTCATATTGGTTTTGTCAGATTTGGGTGAGTGTATATATGTCGTTCGTAATAAAGAGAAGGAGAGAATGACTTTGCTTCCGTTCAGGGGAGAAAGTCGAGACGAGAGAGAGAGAGATCATTTTGATGATGAGATTTCTTTGGAGAAAGTAATAACGAGTTGTTTGTTTTTGTGTGGGAAGGTTGCGGGACGCCACATGCGAAGCGGTTGTACGATGACTTAGTAATAATATTAATTTTCCGTATTATTATTTTCCGTGCTAATATTATCGGTATTCGGTACGAATGTTTAATATAAATACCAATCTAGATCAGCAATTATAATCCACTAATACGTCCGGTGGCCAATGATTCTGACAGAGTCGCGATCAAGCTGGGTCTCAAGTTATCACAGATTATTGACGTGGTATGTGACGTGGATTTAACAAATAGAATGATAATATTGGGTTTGCATCTTCATGTATGTATTTACGTGATATGTGATTTTAGAGTTTTTTCCCCTTTTTTTGCAGAACATGAAAAACCAGATTCTTACAACAAATGTGTGGGTTGAACAAATGTGGATTGATTACAAATTAGTTTGGGATCCAGATAATTATGGTGGAACGAAGGAGCTGTACATTCCATCGGAGAAAATTTGGTGTCCGGATATAGTTCTGTTTAATAAGTAAGTGCTATATGTGTATGGCAATTTTTATTGCTGACTGGCTAATTTATGTACTAAAATTATTTTTAATGTTTTAATAGTGCGGATGGTAACTATCAGGTATGACAGCAGTTAATATATATCACCATTGTACATGGTTGGTTTTGCTAATATAAATAATTATCTGATTATGTGCCAAATAATCAGCCGAACACAATGGCGAAGGCAACAATACATTTCACCGGACTAATTGTCCTCACACTTCCGGCGATTTACAAATCATTCTGTGAAATAAACGTGGAATACTTTCCTTTCGACGAACAGGTAAATAATATTTTTTCTGTTTAACCAGTGAACATTGAACCAAATTCATCAGGACATACATATATTGAGCCTATGTCGTAATGTACGATTATATTATTTAAACAGACTTGCTTTCTGCGATTTGGATCATGGTAAGCACCCATTTAATTTGCAATTCATAGAATCCTTGCATTAATTCACTGATAAAACGCAGGACTTTCGACGGGAATGAGGTATGGAGTTGGTTAGCATAGTTTGATGAGAGGTCAAAATATGCATGTATTTAGATGCATATTCTAATATATTTTGTCGTACCTAGGTTGATTTGCAACACCTTTTTCAAGAGTCGGATTCAGACGTTGTTCAAGTTGGAATAGATTTGACAGAATTTCATCTCTCCGTGGAATGGGATCTGTTGGAAGTTCCATGCCGTCGAAATGTAATTTTTGACTAAATCAAATTTTTATATGGTTTCATAAGTTATTAATTATTCATAAGTTGACTTGAGCTTTAATTTTTATTAAAAGGTGGAGACTTATCCTTGTTGCGATGAGGTGTGATTTATATTTTAAACACCATTAAGAACAAGAGACTATTTTTACTTATGAATTTACATTGATTTTGCAGCCCTACATTGATCTCACGTTTAATATTACGATTCGCAGAAAAATGATGTTTTATACGGTTAATCTCATTGGTTAGTCAATCTATTTATATTACATATGAACGGGTCATTACTCTAATAACTAATGCGTTCAATATCGATTTTTCAGTGCCAACGGTTATAATTTGCTTCCTGACGGTTCTAGTTTTTTACCTTCCTTCCGATAGTGGCGAAAAGATAGCTCTCTCGATTAACATTTTGGTTTCGTTGAGTTGGTTTTTTCTCCTGTTGGACGAAATCATTCCCCCGACGTCTCTAGCAATACCGTTAATTGGAAAGTATCTCTTGTTCACGTTTCTTCTCGTGGTAACGTCGGTATTTTTGACGGTGGGCGTTTTAAGTGTACATTTCAAGTAAGCAGACAAGAATTAATTGCTATTGAATTGATGCAATTGTGCAACAAATTTCTATAATCGATGGACTCGAACTTGGTTGCAGGGGTTCTTCCTCACAGAAAATGCCACCCTGGGTATTATTTAATTTGAAGTTTGTGTTTTTCGATATGTGGGTATAACAAATATGTATAAACGGGTCTACAGGTTCACAACGTCTTTCTCCACGTATTACCAAGAATTCTTCGCATCCAACGACCAGATTGGGATCCTAGATACATTCCGTTGATAAAGAATAGAGAAATGTTTCCAGCTTTGAAAAACTTCGAGTTGGGGATGAGATATGCGTATAGTGCGAGGTAGGTTATAGGTCTTTGTCCTTAAGGTGTAATGGGATGACGCATTGATGCGTCATAAATTTCGTATCTCACTCTACCCCTATTAAATGTCCTTAAATGCATATTTCTAAACCAAGCTCACCAAGTTCATGAGCTTTGAAAAATATGTATGCAACTTTTGATACTTCATTGTATAGTAAAGTTATTCTACAAAACCTTGAACTCAAAACCATGAAATTGATTCCATTTTCGAAAATTCATTTAAAGAAATTAAATATATTTGTAGGGGTAGAGTAATTAGATAAAAACATATATAGAGCATCAACGCGTCATCCTATAGCGCCTTAACTTATAGATTGGTGACATGGTAAGGTGGGCGGATTAATGAGTTTCTACATTGTTCTCCCAGTAATGTGGGCAGAGTCACGGATTTTTCTCCAGTCAATATTCGAAGGCCTTTGTCCGACCTGGATTTTCCGAGACAACGAAGAATTTTTGAGAGTGAGTGGGAATTTATGTGCGGTTATGAAAACTTGTAACTTTTCTTATAAAAGCAATCTCTTTCTTTCTGTTTCGCAGACTTGAACAAACGTGTTAGCCCCGAGGTTTTGTCAGCAATTGAAAGTGCAGAGTATTTGGCTCAACATATTTCCAAGCAGATTGATAAGACAAAGGTGTGTTCTTGCATTTCACAGTAAAGTTACATTTGTTGATAGTGAATACGATAAAAGAAATGCTCTCGTTACAGGAAATTGATGATTGGAAGTACGTGGCGATGGTTCTCGATAGGTTATTTCTGTGGATTTTTACTCTAACTTGCTGCTGCGGAACGGTGTGGATTATTCTGCTAGCCCCATCTTTAACCGACGCTAGAATTCCGATTGACCAAGAACTTTCCCGGGATAAACATATGAAATGGACATAAAGCAGTCGAAATAACAATTAGTATTGTTATGCATACATCGCTCAGGAATCATTGTCCCGTAATAATAATGTCCCAATAATTTTGTATTACATACTAGCAAATAAGAAATTAATTAAACCCCGTGCCAAAAAAAACGAAAGAAAAGAAAAATGCCGTTGTAACGATATCTTTCCTCTAAAACCAAATCAATGAACAAAGCCTTTCACCCAAGACAAATTATAGCCCCGCATGCATATAGTACAAAACCCAAAAAAGTATGCAGTTTATTGGTCTATAACTATGATCAATTGTTTACTCAATAATAATTAGGTAATACTTTGTATGAAAAACAATTAAGTAATTAAGTACTGTGTTCAGCGGAAGAATAGGAAAGTTTGTGTAGTTCTGGAATCAAGACTTTTTGACAGACGAATTTTTCCAGTAGAAAGAAAAAGTGAAAAGTGTGTATTTAAAATCTGTAAGACGAAACCTTAACTAGAACAAATTGATCCATAAACTGTTGGCCTATGTAAATTCGAATTTATGAAAAATTTAAATTATTCAATACCTATTTCGATTGTGCATATTATGTAGGTTTTCTTTGATACTGATTTCTGATTTCTGATTTCTTCCGATATGGGTCCATCCAAATAAAAAAAAACAACCTATAAATATATTTACCTTATAGAATTACAGTCCAAATTCAGATAATATGAGATTTGTTATTTTAGGTCAAATTTTTTGCAATCCATATTGTAACCTACCAAGCCAAATTATTATTACTAAAAATTACCAGTAATAATTATGATATGAAAAATTGTGAGCGAAAAGATTAGCAAAATATAGAATCGGATAGTAATAATTTGGAGGCATGAATTGTGACAGTAGAAATTTGTACTCTACCTACGCAACTAAATTACATGCAGCCAACGACATTAAGAAAAATTTAGTCATGTCAAGAGAATAACTGATAATAAGTAAGAGACATTTACACGTATGTTATTACTAATTGAAAAGTAGAGATTAGAAACCTTGACTGACCCCGAAGTAGACTGAGCAATATGAGAATAATGGTAATCCTGGCGAATTTAGAAAACATGTAGAAGACATAAATACATATGTATGTAAGTAAAACGGATAACAATAAAAATAAAAAAAGTACTACAAATTTCCTAAACGTTTTACATCAAGTACGTGCGCCTCGTTCATTTTTGCACTTGCATTGCTTAAAGGTAATGATCATAATGAAACAAAGGATTCCACCACGTCTTGTCCAGCACGAAAAGCGTACATAGATGCACCATCTCCACGCTCAGGTTGCTTGGTTTGCGAACACCGTATAGCAATTTTTTGTGCCCACTTTCATGATCTATAACGAGGAAGTGTTTTTAGCAGCTGCCAGTTGCGTAACTTGTCTTGGCTTGGTTTACTTAAGATTAGTTTGCGAGTCGTTCATTCCAGCGAAGTATTCCACTAAACAAAAGATTTTTCGTCCAGGCTGACCGTGAATTCAATCGCTACTTCTGGTCGCCAATTATTTTCCAATTTCCTAACAAGATTTCTTTGATAAATTTAAAAACCAATATCATGGGATCAACTACAACCTTATGGGAAAGTTTACACTCTTTTTTCCCATGGCATACGTCGCATAAAGGTGAGATCAGTTCCAGATAAATCAGTGGAATGAACTTCCGTGTTGATTGGTAAAGGTTTTGCTTATTTTCAGTTAACGTGGATGCTAAAGGAGTTCCTCAGGAAATCAAGATAAACGGTACATACATATGAATAGAGCAAAAATATGAAAACATTTTACACAACACATGCGAAAATCTTGATAAAATTGCACTTCCAGTCTCCGGACTTCCAAATATACGCCATATCGGAGTGGATGGTACTTACTTTTTTATATGCATAACAAATACCAGTGCTTGAAAGTAATCCTGATTTTGCTCCACAGTTCATGACGTTACTAGGAACGCCGGGATTACGGTGCTCTATTCGATAGCATTTTTGTTCTTCTCGTTGGGCGTGTATCTCCTCGTCTCCGCGGTGACTCAGTTGGTCTGTGGCGCATACGTCGCTGTCATCCACCTTGGAGCAGGGACGGCCCTGGTAATCTCCACGGTGGCAGCTTGGGTCCATTGGGTTGGGTTTTGGAATGCCGTGATGATCTCTTATCTTGTAATTGTCAATAAAACGGAGCACATTCGTAGTTGCAAATGTCCTTATACTCCTATCAAGAACGGGGGCAAATTGCCGTTATGCGGAGTCGTGTGGTTGATTTGTGTCGGGGGCTTGTTGATACAACTTGGGATAAAAATGATGAGTATTGACTGATTAGTTAGTCTTTGCGGGTTGTCATTTAATTAAATTTTATAATGGGAAAAAGTATGTACATATGATAATTATGCCATTTTTAAATAAACCATGTGCCGATACCTACCTAAGCAAATGCATATGTGAAATTAGATTTTAAAATATTGACAAAGATTTGATTCCTTTATGTGCTGGGCTCGAATTCTACTGAAAATCGAATCGACGAAATTGTTTACAAGTCTGAAAAAGTCTGCTCTTCTTACATATGTATTTACGTACATATGTATCAATGTATGTCGCTCTGTAGAATGACGCACTTTACAGTAGCGTAACTAAGTTTAAGTCCTGATTTTACTGGAAATCTAGTTGCGAAGCTACATTGACGACATAAAAAGATATGTAAGAAGACTTCAAATCCAGGTTGGGCATCTGTGAAAATGAGCAAGCAGTCTGCAAAATCACAAAGATCGTCCCCTCGGTACCTGGAGAAATTGGGAATGGGGTTCTTACTTTTTTCAGAACCTTATTTAGTCAGGATCACGTTTCATTATGTCAACCCCAACAGATCCGATTATGTTTCTAAAGACTCTGGCTATGAAATTAATTCCACGCTGAATCCAATAGTTTCTTAATCAAATACTTACATTTCTATTGATTCTGTCTTTACTGAGAGAGGTAAACCTTAAAAGTCTAATTGGATTGAATTGAATGTACCACCGGTGAAATAGATGTAACTATGTGAAAAAACCAATATCTGTTTGTTTAGTAGTTGAATATACTCTGAGGCATGAATTTGTCATGGGGAGAGGAGGGGGGGGATGAAGATACCAGGTAGTATCTTTATCTTGTATCTCCGTCACCTGATAAGAGGAGTATCTTGCACCTTTTAGGTATATGGATTGTATCTTGTGTATGTATCTTATGTACAAACATATGTATGCCTGGCAGCAAAGTCCCTTAAGATACATGTCTACTTAATTATTAGGAAAATGTTTTATATCTTATCCGTATGTACCTCAACAAGAAGTATTTTGTAAATATCTTACATCTCATTCTGAAAGTGTCTTCATTTTGTATCTCTTACGACCATATGTATCTTGCCCACCCCTGGAATTTATTGACCAGAACATAAGTCTCAATATCTGGGAATAAATTGCATTTGTATTTGCCAATGCGCCGAATAAAGTTGGACTGGAAATTACGTACATACATGTAAAATTTTCGCGTGGGTTTTTACTTCTCGATCTCCTCTGTGATCTCCTCTCTCGACCTGCTCTTCCAGGGCCCAGTTCACGTTGATGCTTTTGTAGAGAAAGTGGAGAGAATTGTACAAGTGGAGAAAATCTTGCACTTTCTCTCTCTTTTACATTTCATTATCGATCTGATCCGGGGAGCGTGTGAGAGAAATTTGTTTTGTTGTTTGGTTTCATAACTCAGCTGCAGATTCGGAACTTTTGCAGTCATAATTGGGTAGCATAGTCTCAAGTTGATGCAACATCAAGGGAATTAAGTAACCGTGAAGAACATGGATAAAGAATTGTTGTCAAATATGAAGGCAGAGGAGGAAATTATTGCTGGTCCATCGACTTCTTTGGTCGCTTCTAACAACTTGGATGATCTCAACCGAAAAGTTTTGAGCAATCACTTGGTGAGTTATAGTACCGGAAGTACACAAATGAAGTGCATGCTTTCTTTCCTTGCCTGACTAACTTTAAGCGTGTCCTATGAATTTAGATCCTCAGCAAAATCATGTCTCATTGTGGCCCCAAAGAGCTAGTCGTGGCCACCTGGGTTTGTCAAGAATGGGCGAAAGAGGCACGGAAATTTTTGCATGAAAACAACTCTGACGGTATCCTGGTCAGGATGAATGGATGGATTGAATCCCTCTTCCATCTAGATGATCATCCTGCCCGTACCGAAAACAGGGTCGAACTCATAAAAATTAGTGATCAAGAACAGGGACCAATTCGCCCCGGGCCGTTAATCTCGGCCATTCAAGATGTTGATGAACGGAGGGCGATGATGTTGAATAAAATCGGATGGACCGAGTTGGCCAAGTATTGCCCAGAATTGGAAAGCATTCACGATATAATGTCGGAATGGGTGTCAGGTGGACAGGAGTTGTCAAGTATGTAGACATTTGCAGATATATTAACATTAAAGGATTTGAAAACACCTGTTGGTTTCAATAATATTTGCGTAAAACTTATGTATTTTTGTCCACCAAATTTCCAGACACGATGGGCGAGATTTTTGATGGCACCACAAAATTAGCAAAGGTGACCAATTTGAGCATTCATATTCAAGGGGTCAGCTTAAAACATGCTCATTTTGTGAGGATTTCCGAAGTGGAACATTGCGAACCAAACCACATCCATGCTGCCGAAGTTGTCGCAATTGCGACCCGATTTCTGGATACGTTTCCAGCCCTTGAAAATCTGCACATCGAATGCATGCTGCTTCCCGTGCTGGTTGCTATTTTGCGCGGTGCCGGAGCTGGAATTGAATCAATTCAAATTTTTACAGCAATTTGCACCCTCGGTTTGGATGAGATTGCGCAATTTCCCCTTTTGCTGCCAAATACGCCGAGGTCAAAACAACTTCCGCTGACAAAGATGCAATTAGAGTGTTCCTCCAACAGCCCAGTCGACTTACAATCTGCGTTAAATCTGATTCCACGAGTCGGTGCGAGTGATACGTTGCGAGAGTTGCTCCTCTTTTACATGATTGGAGACGGGAGAATGTCTCAAGTGGATGTGGTATTTCCGGTCTTGTCAAAATTGAAATGTTTGACGTTCATCCAATGGCCATCCTCATGTCATCCTTTACTCATGCCGAAGGTGCAACGAGACAAAGATGGAGTTCCGGTGAACAGTTTTCCAGCGCTGAAAATGTGAGTTGTGTAATCATATTTTCATGTATTTCTTTACTATTTTAGAAATATGTCTGAATATATATTCAAATTTACTGCAGACTATTCTTTGATGGCGTGGCCTGTCGTCGAACGCTAGGTTCTGTCCTCTGCTACAATTTGACGAGCACTCTGATCATGTTGCAACGCCTCTTTCCAACCCCGTCCCAATCGATGAGGTCGCTCCCACTTTTTACGGGATATTTTGAGAAGGAAGACAATGAGGATCCTGAGAGAGAAATTGCATGGGAAAGTCACGCCGTTTCACAAAATCATGTCGAAAGAGAGTCAAATCTCCACTGGATTTTTGGTCATGATCACCACGCTAATAATGCGGTAATGTTGGAGCGGTTGCAAGGTTTTAAAGAGGCCGTGCTCCTCCTTTGTCCACATTTGGAAGAGAAGGAACGCTACCGACTTTTGAATTTATAAATTCATTAAATTCATGGTATTGAAGTTTGTTGACCATGTATACTTATAATTTACTGGGGCAATTTGGAAATTAGTACAAAAAGTAGAGATGGTAGTAGCTATATTATAGAGAAAACGCACAATTTGTGAGCCAATCATTACATGCAGAAATATTCCGTCATTATTGTCACTCATCCTCAAAGAGATATACAGGAATATAGTAATGTTGTCAGGTCACTACCACTAATTAAGTATTAAATACCATAGTGTGCATACACGGAGCTTTTGGAAATCGTGGAGCTTTCGTAGGTATGTAATCTCACAGTTCCAGTTCCGAATAAATATCTATTAGTATTTAAATGCTTGGCATATTTATGACATTCTATGAAAATATTAGTAGTTGTGATAGTAGTTTCAAACAAATTCAAGATCGACCTGAAATATGTACCTTTGCAAAGTTTACACAAGAGTATTTTGATGCTTATTGCTTTCATTTACATATAAATATATATAGTATGTAACGACGTCTACAAAATTTAATTAAGATAAAGTCATATCTACGATACGGTGCGATAATCATAAGTATGCATACATGTCATATACAAATTTAAGCTTGAACCCAGTCCTTTTTATAATAAAAACATAAAATCATATATTCTTTGTCACAAATGATTTATTTATCAATGTAAAAAATTCTTCAAAGTCTTACAAATCAGTCTCAAAAGTACATCAAGATGCCTAATCCAGAATCCTAAGCATTTATACGTTCCCATTGTTCCCCCACCGCTGCTCTTCCCATAATATAACCAATCCGAAATTCACGGTTTGTTGCGCAAAGTGTAACTACAATGCAGCTAAAAACGCCAAGGACAAACTTGAACATTTGCAAGGCGATGAGACCAAGAAATACGAATCCAAAGAAGCTCATGTTCAACAACCCCCAAGATCCCTGCCAGTCCCCCGTGCCAGGAGCTATATACAGCCATGCAGACTACGACAAAGACAATTTGGAAGACAAATCTTTTCATCCGATTTCCCCTAAAACCTAGAAAAAACATAAAGGTCACATTTCAATTAGGTTATTAATTAATATAATTAAACATATTAAAATGTTAAAAACTTTTGGATTCGGATTAAAAGCAATTAAACTCACCTCGGTTTCTTAATCTGATCAACATTTGTGAGAATGCCCCTAAAACAAAAGTTATTATTTAGTCAAATTGGTAGACGTCTGGTGGTCACATGAATTAATTTTATACAATTACTTGGTTCGACTCTTGGATCATTTTCCGCCTCGATTCGACGATTTCGAAAATATTCAATAATATTATTCCAGACGCGATTCATCTTACTATGCCAAGTGAGTGGATAGAATAAACAGTAACTTATTTGCAATTTTTCTCAGGTGACACTATTTACGATTTGTTACCTGCAAAGTTCCAATTGGTGATGAATCTATTAAAAAAGAAAGCCGAAGAAAGGTATTAATTTCCGGAAATGCAAAATTAATCATATAAATTTCTGAACCTGCTTGAATTGAATTGGTAATTATTTGGTGATAGGCCAGATTTCAATAGTGAATGGATGGATGCACGCCGACTGCGATAGTGAAAATGCTGACGAAAATGAGACGAAGACATATTCTAGAAAAAATGAGACTATGAGGCGGCGTTTGGCCAATATTTACCATCACCTCTCACTAAACTTTTGTTCATTTTTTTTACAGATTAGGACTAGATGCAAATTATAATTATTACAATTGTATTTGTCCGTTCCGCTACTCCCACGTCCCTAGGTTCAATTTGGTGTTCGGCATTTGATCGGTTGGGTAAGATAACTTATAGTTTTGTATTCAGCTATTCCTTCTCATTAATTTGTTAAAGCTGAACCTATCTGTTGGTGATCTATCAGAAGTCCTGGTTCAGGATGAAAAGATGCAGCGAGTCATCATCCCTTTGCCCAGAATCAAAGAGGAAGAAAGATAACAACGATATGTTGACAGAGAATTTTGACGCTAAAATAAAGAATGACATGAAGAAAAAACACCCCAGTGAACCCAAAAACCGAAAGGAACGCTCATCTTGCTTTGTATGCGGAAATGCCGACCTTGCGTCCACATCGATGGCCAAAAAGCTATACTCGAAGCAACTGGGTGAATTTAACTCTATTTTGGAAAAATTACATCCTGGTGCGGCGGAAGAAGAAATTATGGACAGTTGTAAAATGTGCCTTGGTTCAATTACGCAAGTCTGGGATCTCCACCTGGAGATGGTATTAATTGTGGAGAATTGTTTCGAAATTATGAATGCGAGGTTGGATAAAAACTGTAAGACATTTTGAATTAATTTTTGTTTAATAGATTACGGATTTATAGAAAAGTTTGGACTTAATTTTCTATAGGTTTGTCTCCAACTAAAAGTACCCCAAGAAAAAAAGTAAAAACCTTACTTGATAATGCTTACAAAGTGAACAAATTGAAAAACCACACCTTGTCAGAATCATCCTCACCTGAGGCGATAAATCATCAAACTAATCCTGAAGATAACCTTGTTGACTCTGTTGAATGGAAAGAAATCCAAGTGACCGGTGGAATTCCTCACAACTACAATGAAGACAAACAACTTAAAGAACGTAAAAGTGGCCCAAGACCGATGCGAAAAAGTAAAATAAACGCTAAGGCTGTTATTCGTTCTGTGACGAGGGCTGTTTCCCCTGATAAAAAAATAAAACAAGAAAAATTGGAGGAATCCGATTTCGAATTGTAAGAATATACATGTTTTAAACAAATTATCGAGTAGTTTCAATTAGTTCCTGTAATAATCGGAAACATTTTTATAATTCAGAGATGCCGATGATGCATACTTGAAAGGCGAAGAAGAAGAAGGGACATCCGACTTCGAAATTTCTCCAACAAAGAAACGTATCCAAAAAGGGTCTACTTCAATTTCCAAAAAACAATTGCCTTGTCAAACCTGTGGCAAAATATTCTCTACCTCCACCACTCTTAGAACCCATAACCTTCGTGTTCACGATCAAACTATGAATCATGAGTGTGATTCCTGCGCTAAAAAGTTTTTCACTATTACCGAGCTCCAGGCACATAAGAAATCAATTCATGATCCCGACTCTTTTTGTTGCTCTGTTTGTGACAAGAAGCTGTCGTCCAGACGAAATCTAGCTATTCACGAAACTATCGTGTGTAACGTAATTTGGGATGAAAAGGAACTGGCAGGATTGAAACTCAAAATTCAACATTGCACTTTCGAAGGATGCGCCAAGAAATTTGCAAAAGACGTAGAGTTCCGGAGGTAAGCAAATTGATGGCTTATTTATAAACATCAAGATTATACAATATATTAATTTCTGAGACAATTTTGAATTTTTCTTTTACAGACACACAAAAACCCACACGAATATGAAAAACTTTACTTGTTCAACATGTGGCAAGGCTTTCAAACTTCAAGTCTCTCTTGACCTACACTCCAAAATGATTTGTGGTTCAGGTTCAGACGAGCCTATTGCTACCAAAATCAGGTTGCGCCGTTCTTTCAACGCTAAGAAACCCAAAAACCTAAAATGTCCATTCTGTCCACGAAGATTTATTACAGCAAGAATGTTGAGATATCACCAGGAAGAAAAAAATCACAAGTCTGCAGAAGACGTAATAGCGATTTGTTACCTATGTGGGGCCACCGTAACCACAGCTGGATTACCGAGTCACATCCGACGTGTTCATGAAAAGGCGTACTCATGCTTTTGTCCCGTTGCAGAATGTAAGAAAGGTTTTTATTCCACAAGTGAGATGATTCAACATGAGCGATACGTTCACTCTGGCCAACCACGCCCTAAACCAATTAAAAACTTGAAATGTTCGCTGTGTCCAACTCCAACAACATTTGCACATCCCTCTACCCTTGCAACGCACAAGGCTCGGATACATCTCACTACGAAGCCAAAATATCTATGCGATCAATGCGACTTTAGTTTTTATGCGAAACCCGAATTGGTACGGCATTTAAAGACGCACAACAAACCAGGCGTAAATTGTCCTGATTGTGGGAAACATTTTGAGTATGAATTTCGTCTCAAGACACATCAAGAACGAGGGCTTTGTTGGAAAAAGTCTCGACATGGAGCTGGTCAATCAAAAACAAGAAAGAAGCCAAGTGGATGGTGTGCTAAATGTGATAAGGTGGTGGCGAGTAATAAATGGCTGTTGGCTAGACATTGCAGGGAGGTGCATCCAGTAGATGTAAAGGTTGAGATTGTTAAAGATGAAGAAGGAGAGACCAAATTAGGTGCCCCTGAAAATTTGGATAGTGCAAATATTCCAAAGACGATGGAATTTTTTCTTGTGCCAGATCTGCAAGGAGAGGTTGAAATTAGTAGCAGCAATGGTTTGATGAATGAGGCAGTGATAGTGGTGGAATCGATACATAATTAGTAGCAAGTATTAGGTATTGCATGCAACATGTATGTACATATGCAAGCCCCAGCTCAGGCTAGAAATGAGGATTTGTAATAAATGTGGCGACTTTGCTTAAAATGTAATCAAATTTATGTACATAAAAATACAATACCATTCTTAGAAATTAAATTCAGCATTCAGTAAGCTATTTAAATCTACGCATCGTTTGTATCAATGTGTAAACCATTGTCAAAGTCGAACAGCACATTAACCAACTGACTTTTTCTATTAAGAAATATTAAGCTTTGCATTGTTCCTTTCTGAAAGGTACTCTCTTTGGGTAGAAAGTTAGTTTTCTTCCTTCCTGATCCAAAGTCCCATTTGCAATAGAATATTAATCCATTTACACCTTCATTTTGTATGCGAATCTCCTTTCTAACTTTCACTGTATTGATATCAATTGTAAACAAGTCATTTGTAGTACAAATGTCAAAGTCGTACTCCCAGAGTGGCTGATACTCCACGATTGGATCCACACTATCTATGCAACCCCCAATTAGCTCATCAAATGGGGTGAGGTCAAACCCACATGTTTCTCCAACTCGGCTACGGATTTTGTGTAGGTGATGGAACTTTACCGTGAGACACTTAATCATTGCACTTTTTGGAAAGTAGTTCTTACTCTGGTATTTCTTGACTTTAGTGAAGAATTGAAGGTTTTGTAGGCACGACAATGAGTTGGAATAATATGGTTCAGATATGATAAGCAAATTTGGGTCTTCCTCCGCATTCGGAGGTAAGGGGTCAGACTTAAAATCGAAAGGATCTCTTCCCGTACCGAGAACGGAGACCTGATTATATTTTTCCTTCAAGTAGATTGGAAGGGGGCTGTCATCTCCGAGAAACAAGACATTTTTTTCACTTGATTCAGTATCCAGGTTAAGGTAAAATGGAACATCTAATTGGTTCAACCCATAAATCCTGCCGCGACTTAAGGCTCGATGTAATCCACAGTTACACTTTGATTCTTCTGTACCCAAATGGTAATCTAGGTCAGTCTGAGTTATGCTCAACTCATTTTTTCGTAAATTAAGTGGTATGAACATCTCCCACTGAATCCAGTGCTCCCTCCAAACATAGTTATCCTTTTCTAGGAAAGATGGGAAGCAGGAAATTTCGGTATTCGCATCCATTTTTAATTTCCAAAATAAGAATGCATTTGTATAGTCTGTTGTGGAAGACTTTATCACAGCTATTCTTGATGTTGGAATTTGTTTCGTAAAATCAAAATGAAATAGTGGTTGTGGTTCAGGTGTCACGAACTGAAAATCTGTCCCTGGTCTTAGGTTCGAGAGCTGTAGGTCGTGTGCTGTAGGAAGACCGGGACAATTATATGTCGACTCAAAGTATTTGGGATGATTTAAACCATGAAATTCAGCTAGAACGGGGGAAGAGACGAGTTGAACGAACACCGTGGCTGTTGAGGGAACGGCTAAATAGTCCGGCTGCAAGAAAAGACAAATGTAATCAACTATTTCATGCTCCACCGTGAAGACAACCAGGCCACATAAATATATTTTGTATGCAGCTACATATATACCTCCATCAACTCCAGTCCCGCATGATTGTACGTCGAAATGCAGTGTTCTCCAATCAATTCAGTGTCGAACGTCTCTGTCACTAAAATATTGGCCCGATGAGGAAGATCAACTCCAATCTGAAGCTCATTGCTCCGTTTAGGAATAATTTTAATTTTCGATTGGAGCAATTTTTCATTTGCTTGCGTCACCTTAAGCGCCGTAGTGTACATTGGTGTGAAACACTATGCAAAGGTAACCAGGCAGTTTATAATTGTGATGCATATTAGACCTTGTGCATTATAATTAGTATGACCTTCACCTCACAAGCATAGATTTCATCGGCTCCGGCGGCGCTGGCCATCATTGAAAGAAGACCGGTTCCCGTTCCAATATCAAGGACAATAGCTCGACGCCCTTTCCCCTTCATGGTCGCTATAGCGGACGATATTGCGGCGTAGTAGGCCTTGTTCTGCAGTTAATGACAATAAGTTAGGCCTAATTAATTGAATCTTTTATTTCTATCAAATTTAGTCTTCAAAAACTCACTCTGTCCAAGTCATGCAACATGTCGGCGTAGGCCGCTCTTGCTATATCGCGATTATAGTCCTCTTCAAGAACCCATGTTTGCTCTCCTGTTACAGGGTCTCGTATCGAGGAGAAGTGGGTGGACATTTTCCTAAGTTTTATACTATTAACGCGAAATAATTGACAATATCTCGCAAATCTCACTCTTGATAGTAGAAACATGTGCTCATTTACTGGTTTCCCGTCAGAAACCGCTGAGAAAGTTTGATCTCTTTTCTGCCCCGTAAATAACACTCCTAACTGACAACGTCTGTGAAGTTAGAACCGGTTATGAGCAAAATTGAGACTCGGAACAATACAGTATGCACACACATTATTAGCACCCCTCAAAATCGGCTAATATCTGCTGCCGTAAATTAAGTAATAAAGGTCGCCATGCCTCCAGTGACCTAAAAATGACCTAAATCTGTCGCCATGCCTCCAATGACCTTAAAATGACCTAAATCTGTCGCCATGCCTCCAGTCACCTTAAAATGACCTAAATCTGTCGCCATGCCTCCAGTCACCTTAAAATGACCTAAATCTGTCAACATGCCTCCAGTGACCTTAAAATGACCTAAATCTGTCAACATGCCTCCAGTGACCTTAAAATTACCTAAATCTGTCGCCATGCCTCCAGTGACCTTAAAATGACCTAAATCTGTCGCCATGCCTCCAGTCACCTTAAAATGACCTAAATCTGTCGCCATGCCTCCAGTCACCTTAAAATGACCTAAATCTGTCAACATGCCTCCAGTGACCTTAAAATGACCTAAATCTGTCAACATGCCTCCAGTGACCTTAAAATTACCTAAATCTGTCGCCATGCCTCCAGTGACCTTAAAATGACCTAAATCTGTCGCCATGCCTCCAATGACCTTAAAATGACCTAAATCTGTCGCCATGCCTCCAGTCACCTTAAAATGACCTAAATCTGTCGCCATGCCTCCAGTCACCTTAAAATGACCTAAATCTGTCAACATGCCTCCAGTGACCTTAAAATGACCTAAATCTGTCAACATGCCTCCAGTGACCTTAAAATTACCTAAATATGTCGCCATGCCTCCAGTGACCTTAAAATGACCTAAATCTGTCGCCATGCCTCTAATGACCTTAAAATTGCCTAAATCTGTCAACATGCCTCCAGTGACCTTAAAATGACCTATATCTGTCGCCATGCCTCCAATGACCTTAAAATGACCTAAATCTGTCGCCATGCCTCCAGTGACCTTAAAATGACCTAAATCTGTCACCATACCTCCAATGACCTTAAAATGACCTAAATCTGTCGCCATGCCTCCAATGACCTTAAAATTGCCTAAATCTGTCAACATGGCTCCACTTGTCAATTTCTAGTCAATTCATGTCAAAATTGGATTTTGACTTCCCCAGCGCGGCATTTGACTTACGGCATTCTTTGAAGTTTAAAATAATGCACAATTACATGCTCCATAAGACTCCGCCGACCCGCATCCTGACAAAAAATTTCCCGCCCCGCACTTGTCAATTTCTAGTCAATTTATGTCATGATTGGATTTTGACTTCCCCAGCGCGGCTTTTGACTTACGGCATTCTTTGAAATTTAAAATAATGCACAATTACATGCTCCATAAGACTCCGCCGACCCGCATCCTGACAAAAAATTTCCCGCCCCGCACTTGTCAATTTCTAGTCAATTCATGTCAAAATTGGATTTTGACTTCCCCAGCGCGGCATTTCACTTACGGCATTCCTTGAAATCGAAAATAATGCACAATTTCATACTCCATAAGACTCCGCCGACCCGCATCCTGACAAAAAATTTCCCGCCCCGCACTTGTCAATTTCTAGTCAATTCATGTCAAAATTGGATTTTGACTTCCCCAGCGCGGCATTTGACTTACGGCATTCTTTCAAATCGAAAATAATGCACAATTACATGCTCCATAAAACTCCGCCGACCCGCATCCTGACAAAAAATTTCCCGCCCCGCACTTGTCAATTTCTAGTCAATTTATGTCATGATTGGATTTTGACTTCCCCAGCGCGGCATTTGACTTACGGCATTCTTTGAAAATTAAAATAATGCACAATTACATGCTCATAAGACTCCGCCGACCCGCATCCGGACAAAAAATTTCCTGCCCAGGACTTGTATTTTTACAATGACAATTTGTACTCATCAGATTATAAATATTTATATGAGCAGAAGTTACGGAATCACTTGAAATAATAATGCGCAATTACACGATGTGCATAAGGGTTGCTGCCGTGGATAAAAATTGGTCCCGCGTCGCTGAGTCAATACATTTTCATGCAGACTAAATTGATGGAATGTATATAAATAAATTTATTTACACGATTGAAAAAATTAAAATAGGTTAAAATTTGTTGGAGTTTGTTTAATTAGTTATTTGTGAAAAGATTAGTTAAAAGAGTAAAATAATTTTGTACGCTCCTGAATGGAATTTTTGTTGCGCGTTTGTTAAGTTGGAAAATTGTTTTCCAGTTCCCTCTGAGCGTGTTCGAGAGGCATTTGCATAATTTTGGAGTAAATCCGTTCAAAAGCTTCGGGTACGAGAACGTTGGATACTTGTAGAATATCCTGCAAAATCAATAATATTTTTAAGTGCGGAATAACTTGATGCATTTAACCTGCTATACTGACATTGAATGCAAGGGTTTCCAGGTTCTCTGCTTTCCTCAGATCAGAAGAAAGTTGGGTGGAAATGATTTGGAAAGATTTTGCAGAAAAGGGATACGAGACCACCATTTGTTGTAAATTTGCACAAAAGTTTGGCTTCCGTTCGACCCAGATCTTTCAATCACGAAAATTAGTTTAAACATTGTTTTAGAATATATAAGTATAACCATAACACCTTTTGACGAGGGCATTTATACTCCCCTGAAAATGTTTCCGGTTTGGGGACATAAATTTGCAGCACGTCTAACTTAATCTCGTGATAAGCTTTCATGATTGACTCTTCACTAAGAGCTTCAATTAACCTGAGTAGTTAAAGAAAAAGTGATTTCAATTTTTTTCCCGTTTATGGATTAAATTATAAAGTATGTGTACTTATATCGCTTGTATTTATCCTTCTCCTTAGCTACGTGGTCCTTCCCTAGAGTTTTGACCCTTGTCTTCTGCTTTTCTAAAAGTATTTCCGAAATTTATTATACGAATTCTTGATACTTGATTATTTGTAAATTCTAAATGTCTATATGTAATGTTACCCAAATTTCCATGTTGGTCAGTTAACATATCCTCAACTATTTTTCTAAATTTTCTCTCCAAATTGGATGTCGTAATTTCATCGCCGGACAAATTCAGCAGTTGGGGACTACAAAAACTTAGTTTGATGGATTTGCTTGTAATTTAATTATTGTAATTTTATAATAAAATATTGTATCATGAAAATGTAATTGTCTTTTATTCTGGTATACCTTCTGTTGGTTGGTTGGGCATTCTCGCTTTGCATGCTCGGTTTCTTCGTGTTTTTCAGGTTACTAACTAAGCAATATTATTTGACACTTTATCATTCTATACATGTTGCGACAAATGAATTGTTTCCAACACAAATTTTCATTTTTGAAGAAATTAAATTTGAATTATTATGTACTGACAAAATGGTGTGAGTGGACCGTTGCTAAGTTGGAGGATCCAACTTAGCAACCGCCACGTTCTCTGGATTTGCTATTAGATTGTTCTTGATTAATCTGAACTCGGATTCGGTGCCACCATTTGTAACGCGCACAAAGTTTGGGTACTTTGTTTTCTGAACCACTCCCCGTGCAAAAATTCCAATAAATGGAACGTATGTATTTTCATAAATGTTGAGCACGGATGGCGAGTAATATGGATTGCTTGCGGCGTCGACTTCCACATCTTGTACCAAGTTCTTACGTATTTTTCGAAATAAATGGTAGTAGGGTGACTTTTCACGTAGAAGCTTGGTGGCGACCTCATCCTCCTCTTCAAAATTGGGGGAATTTCCGTCATCTGGCTCAACGCAACCATCGAGAGCCATGGAGCTAATCCTTCCCACTGTATTATTAATTTCCTCGGATGTCATTCTTTCCATACCAAACAAAGTACAAACATCTTGCATAGCTATGTTTACTTCATCCAGGCATGTACACTCTTGAAACTTCGCCAAGCCCCTAACACTCGCATCAACTAGTTTCTTTGCATGTTTGCTGGTTGCGGTTTTCCTTCTTACATTATCTAGAAACGACTTTGTAAGATGAGACGCACATAATTGGATACAAGCAATATCTTCGGAAAAGGTTGCTTTATCTTGGAGTACGTCATAGCTTCTTTTCAAATATTCATCAAGTTTCATCACATTAAATGACTCTGACACAGCGTGAAGCATTGCAAAGTTGAAGTCGGTGCAGATAATATCAGGTGCACTTTTGGGCTGGTATGGGCGTAATTTTTTTAATCCTCGTTTTACACTCGTCAAAGGTCCCCCTATATCGTTAGATTGTCCTCTCATTAGGATACTGTCCGCCACAACGAAATTACCACTGCCAGTTTGCGCCACGAAACTGTACAGTAGTAAGGAGTTCCGTGGTCTTGCTGATCTTGGTTGATTTTTTGAATTTGGTTGACTTGATGAATCGAGAGCTCCTCCTGCGTTTGGTAGTGGTTTAAAAATTCCTCCGGTGGCGTCAATTCCAAGTGTCACGTGTTCTTTTGCAATCTTGTCGGCCAAAAGCTTCAGAGACTGCTGATCAAACAGATCAACCCGGAATAGTTTTGGGTCAAGGTTGTAATCTTGCATGTACCCTTTTATAACTCCGTCGGGATTATGTGTAAGTTTATAGTGTTGGTCGAGTTTTTTTAAATCTTCAAAAACATTGGAATCGAATCGTTCCTTAGCTTTTCCTTCGGCTCGAGTTGTTCGTAAAACATCAGTTGTCGGCGGTACATTCCTATGCAGCAGTTCTAATCCAGCGACATGACTCATGTCGGTTAAAAACACTTTAACGGCTGATGTGGTGAGTAAAGTTTTGGCAAGTTTCTCCCTCTCATCTCCAGTGATAGGCCGTGATGTCCGCTTGGATTGCACCAAATTGAACACGCCTGACGACTCACATTTTGCTTTAACTGGAAAGCCTTGTACGGGTTTAGAAAGAAAAATTAGGTTGAATTTCATCCCGCAAGTACAATAACCTTCTTGCTTGGCGAATGATTGGTTTTGCTTTTTCGTGGCGTAATAATAAGGCGCTCGGCTGTTTTTAAATGCGCACAGAATTCCAGATTCGCGAAGCCGTTGTGCTAACTCATCACCACGAGCTTTTTTCTCTTGCACAAATTTTCCTGTGTCGTAATTGTAAATCTTTGAAATGCTTTCTGCCGAGAAGATAATATCAATTTCTTTCGGAGGGATATAATTCAGTTCCTCCTCGGTGACATTTAGGACTGAACAAATTGTATCCATGTCAAGTTGGACGTTTTCCAAAGTACGAGTCTCCTTTGCTCTCATAGGGGCAATAACAGTCTCTCGATCGGATTCATGATCAATTTCCGGTTCAGTCATTTCGAGTAAAGAGGTTGTAGTTAAATTGGCCTCCGAATTATCTGATGATCGTATTTGTGTCAAACTGGGATCTTCGCACTCGGTGTGTGTTAAATTTTCAAATCCACCGTCAGCATTATCATGCATGTTGTCCGGATGATGGTCCTTGTCGTTGTCATGATCATCGTCGGGTTGAATGGAGTCAAATTCGCCAGATATCTGATTTTCTTCACGGCATATCATGCAGTACCATTCTTCGGTTTCTTGTCCTTCTGTGTAGTCACAATGCTGCATTCCCTCCCCATTTTTCTCGTAGTGATACCACGTACCGCAGCCGTCGCACTGAACGGCTGGTAAGTGGTCATCGCCCCTCACGCCACAGTTGCACCAAGTTTCATTTTTCTTCTTGCTTTTTGGAGGAAGGTAGAAATCCTTCTCTGGATACCGTCTCGTAGGTTCCCTGGTCCTAGTCGTTGGTTCACGTTGTATGTGAGTATTTTTACGAGACGCTTGCACTGAGGGTGAAGCGCTTTGAGAAGCAGCGTCTTCCGGATCCATTAAATTTGGAAGCTCTGCCAATACAATTTCCTCGGGGTTACGACGCCGATGAGGTGCATTTTTCTTCTGTTGGAATTCCGCCATTTTACAAAAAAATGACTTGCGGACTTCTTGACTGAAGCCCTCGTCCTTGACGAAATTCGCCCAATAATGCTTGTTATCGAACGATAAATATTTTGACTGCGCTGAATTTCTCTGTCTTCGTAATTTTTTTCTTTGCAGATTTTTGCTGATCCGTTTCTGCAAATATCTGCGCGAACCCACTGGTTTCAAGTATTGAGAGAAGCGCTGCATTCTTATCTTCTGTATTACAGGCGATCAACTTCTCGTGAAGAACCTTCCCTAATTCGTGGAGAAGGTTATGCGTAATTTTGGGTTTAAGCACTGGTGTTCGATGGTGCAGAGAAGGTCCGCTGGAAGAATTATCATCCGATTTCGGATTAGTGGCCTTTACCCTTGATTTGTTTGGCTTCGAATACGGAGCATAATTCGCATTGTATTCGGCAAATGGTTGTTTTAATGGCTTTGAGGGTTGTAAGGGCGGGTTAGACACTGTCCAGCCGCCTGGTGGACCACAGCGCTGCAAGATTAATTTCCATCGGTTAAGCGAATGTAATACTAACGTATTATTCATCAAACAGCTTAAAATCGACTTACAAGCAGTCCCATTTCGTCACTCGAAAATGGGAGCAGGGTTGAATTAGTTCCTCCCTTCTTTTTTCGCATTTCTTGTTCTTTTGCCATTTTTTCTCTCTCCTCCTTTCTGATCCTCTTCACATCCTTATCATAGTCAAATTCAGGACATTGTGGAAGATATTCATTCCTCTGCTCATTCCTGTGTAATAAATTTTTCCTTAATTATAAGCAATTTTTCAAATCCAATTTGGATACTAAAATTAAATTACAGCAAGCTTTATGAAATCGTGTTTAGAGAAATGGGAGCAGACGTATGTACATGCAAACATGGTTGCATAATAAAGTCAGAGGCAGCTTGAGACTTATGCATAAAAGTCGAAAGAGAAGGGTTTTTACCAATGGGTTGGAACTCAACGAATAAGTTCTGAAATGCGTAAAAGTGAGTTCTGTATCATGGACAAGTAAATAAGGATCACTAAACTGGACGGCATCTTTGTATTTATAGATCTATGGTTTTGTATATGCGGTGTACATTGGACGAGGGGAAAAAGTCAAACCTGCTCGATTTATCAGTAAAGTTTACGCGATGATCTTTCTCTCTCTCTCTCGCCACACACAAAATGATGCCATGCATGCATATATATGTATGAAGCCAAAATTTTGCACACAAACTACGAATTGAAATCACGAACAACTAACCGTATTTGCTCTGGAATTTCTTTTGCCTGTCTTTCATGAATTTCTTCTCGTGATTCCTTGGCAGGTTCCTCTTCAGATTCATTTAGTAACTCCTGCGTCTGGTCCGTCACTTTTTCTGAATTGTCAACAAGTTGTTCGGAATGAGTCACACTTTCGGTTTCAGAAGCACTTTCTCCCTCTGTTTCCGATTCCGACACCTCCTCGTACATCATTTTTTAATTTAATCAATTTCAAAATTTGGCAAAATTAACTGATTCACTTTGTTAGTCAGAGCTGCAACTACATGACTTACTACGGAGACAAGAGTATGACAAAATACTGAACGGATGCAATTACCATTAATCTTGAGTAAACAATCCTAAAGATCAGGGTTAGAGTAGATCAAATTTCTCACTCTCATCCACAGTCCCAGTTTCTCAATCTGATCTTGGTTTCTTCTTAGTTTTAAGATTCACTTTTGCCCACAAAGCATCCTTAGAAAATAAATAAATTAATTCACTGAAAAATGGACGACTTTGAGAAAAGTCAAAGTTTATCTCAAATGGGAATTTATTACCACAGGACGAGGCAGTATCGGCAAGCTTTGGAGGTCCTCACCGAAGCCAACAAGTGCCTCAAAAGATTTTCAAAAGGTTAATTTTCATTTATAATTTTTTTACCAATCTGATATGCAACCATGTATTCGCCTTTAGTTCCTAAGCCCATTGGTAATATACACAAATGATTAGATCAATTTGCTCGACTTGGGTAGTCAGAAATTCATAAGTACCTTCCCTCAAATTTTGCATAATGTACATTTTCTGCATGTAAATATGATCCAATACTCTTTACAGTAATTACAAATATCTTAAAAAGCGTTTTGTTATATTAGATCGTGACTCAACTTTTCAACTTCAAGTCTTGACAGATTTAATCGGTGTCAATGAGGACTTAGCAATAGTCTGCTTGCATGAACTGGAAAAAGGTACAGTTTCTACGTTAAGGAACGGTCATAAAATATATGACGCAGACCTGGGATTTTTTAAAAATCCTCCCTTCCCGTGCGTTACCAGTTGCGCCCTGGTTTCAAGATGTGGCGCAAGTTTAATTGCAACTTCGGCCAAATACTCTCCCTGTCCATCCAAATCGTTACTTATTTTATGCACGTCCCTTTATTTTTGCACGCATTCTCAAGTATTATGCAGTTGTTTTATAATTTTTGTGTAATAATTGTAGAAAAGTGTATCGCTGGAGTACACCCTGACAATGTGGAGTCCATGGAAGAGGAGGAGAGTGACGACGACGGAAAATCTTCACAATTTGAAAGCGACGACGACGAGGAACCACAAGTGCTTATCTCAGAATTAGAGACGGGTGTACCCGACGAGGAGGAGGAAAGCTGCAATGACGGGAAACTTGACCAGGAAAGGAAAATTACCGAGGAAGAAAACATAAGCGGAATTAAGGGCAACTCTGATAATAAACAAGGTCCAAAAAATTGGAAATCTTAGCGAGACCGTGCAAGAACAACTAATAAATTAAATTACACTGTAGAATTGTTGTATCACCGCTCTCCATACCACTTTTTTACTGGAAGAATTAATCACTTAAGTAGAATACACTGGTCCCCCTCAATCGGTCTGATGATTTTATCAGAATAAAAATACGGAATATCCAAATTAGTATCTCAAAATTTTAGATTTGTAACTTTTTAAAACAAATATGTATGTACTTCACAATTATTAAACCTTCATATTTGATCTCAGTTAATTTAATTTTCAAACTTCTAGTGTGAAACTTGAAATTGCTTTTCGTTTTTTTTTGAAAATTAAGAATTCATGCGTATGAAAAGCAAAATTCAGAATGGTTCCAGCAAAAATGATACCCAGAGCGATGAAAAACAAATGCTTCAATCTAATTGAATTTATTAGTTATTATTGCACGGCCTCACTAAGATTTCCAATTTTTTGGGACCTTGTGTATTTAAAGCTAATAATTGGTTGTTATTAATAATATATGCACCGCAACACCGCTATTATTTGTCCATCCTGAATATTTTTTTTGGATTTTCCAATCTATATAACTCCTCCATTTCTTAACCGATTTAGGTAATTTTGCACTTAAAATGTTCAGAATGTCTTTTCCTACAATGTTTGCAGTACTGAGTTACACTACCTACGAGGCATAGAAAGCAATGTCTTGAAGGGAAAAGTTTTGCACATTTTGGTGCATATCACCTGGGTAAAGATAAAAAAAATTCTCGAACTCGACTTGTGCATAGTTTCGAAATCCCGTAAAAATGATCGGTGCAACACTTTATCAAAATCGGCTCAGAAAATGTCGAATTATGCCACTTTTTGGAGGGCTAAATTAAAACTTATTATTTTTTTTCGTTGTTAGGTATTTGCCACACTGAGGAAAACGACAAACCTTCGACAGCAACGGGGGACCATAAACAGCCTGAGGTTCTGCCAACCACAAACAACTTACCTACAGCGGTCAGACTGACTATGCCTGTTAGCTGTGGCTTGGCTGAGACGTTCAATCCAGTAACAAATCCGTTAGTTTCTCTAATGGGTATGGATTCAGAAATCCATTTCTCATATGTAAATCCCTCAGCCAACAGCGGAACACAAACCATTTCTATGCAAGATCTTACTGAAAACAACGAAAATGCCACAAAGGGAAAATCGACTAATAAGGAAGCAGTTAAATTAAAGGAAAAAGCAGTTGCCATAACTGATCACATTATTTTACAGTGTCTCGTGAAAACAGGAAGTGGGAGGCTGTCGGACGTGATTGGTTTGGACCACGTTATCGTGAGTATGAAGAAAACCATTTTCCTACCATTGGTGGCGGAGAAAGAATTTGGCAGTGACCTTCAAGGCGTGCTGCTTTTTGGACCTTCTGGGGTTGGAAAAACCCATATCTTAAGCTGTCTTGTGGGGGAGCTTAACTATATAAAAGAGGAAAAGTGCAAAACCTTCCCAACGATAAGCATCTGGAAGGTAGAGCCAAAAGACATCTTGCATAAGTGGATAGGTATGCTAACTGTGTCGTTAATTTTTACTGTTTATGCCAGCTTAAAATTTATCCTGTCAATATTTTGCAGGTGACTCAGACAAGTACCTCAGTCGGATTTTCGAGTTGGCTCAAGAGAAGCGCCCGTCGATAATAATTATTGACGAGATCGACTCTCTATTATGTCAGCGAAAAGAGGACGATCCTGAACACATTCGACGGCTCAAGACGGGATTTCTTTCGTAAGTATTTTCATTTTTTGTATTACGCATCCTTGTAGTACGCATTTATGCATCTTGCTATTATGCAATTAATTACAGGTGCATGGATGGCCTAAATAATTATTCTGGAATCGTGGTCGTGGGTTAGTCTTTGGTGGCACAGACCATTACATAGTTTCAAGTTGCTTAAGTTAACTAAATTTTCCCAGGATTGACAAATTTTCCGCAGCATTTGGATTATGCATTCAGGCGAAGGTTTTCGAAAAGAATTTATATTGGATTACCCGATTCCTTTGCAAGGGAGCGAATACTAGCACACTATTTAAAGAAAACAAATCTTTTAACGGAATCATTCGATCTTGGCAAAATATCTTCAATGACTGAGGGGTATTATATGTACATATATGTATAGTTTCTTCACTTCTCACCAAATTAATTTCACATTACCGATTTATTTCGCATTAGTTTCTCTGCCCACGACCTTGCTGTTGCCATTTCAAAACTACAAGCACTTCAGTACACTAGTAACTTTTCCTCGGACGGTGTGAACGATATTGTCCAACTCATGAAGGTGGGCTGCAAGCCAACAACATTGATAACCCAGGTATGCCTTATTCGCCATGCTTGGAATACTTGGCCCATGTCGCTATTACTAATTAATTTTGAATTTCTACTAGGAAATGTTTGAAGGATTAATTCGGACTGATGGATCAACCAATGGGGCCACGAACGATGAGAAAACCCTTGATGAGCTTAAAAGGTGGGGACGAGAATTCGGAGCAGAGGGGATGACTCAACCGGTTTATTATGAAGGAGAGTATGAGCCAACGCTCAGCTCGTGCCTATTTGAAATGTTTTGCTGCCTGTTTTACTAAACATGATCTTACTCGATAAATATTATTTAAATTCAATAAATGCACATCTATTATCAACTTACATATTAAACGAAACTATGGTGAAATCCGCAACCGAGCGTTTGCCTTTCTCTTGCAATTTTTCTCGTTATGGAAAAAATGCATTACGTATTCCATCATATCTTCGCTCACACTGTGCATTATGAAAAATCCGGTTCTATTATTTATCCAGGCACTGATAATTATAATAGTTCCATCAAAATCGGAGCGAGTTAAAACCGATGCCGACATCAAATTCTTAGTCAAATCTTGTGTAACTTCAGTTCAAATAAATATTTATAATCTGAGTATAAATTGTCATTGTAAATATACAAGTGCGGGGCGGGAAATTTTTTGTCAGGATGCGGGTCGGCGGAGTCTTATGGAGCATGTAATTGTGCATTATTTTAAATTTCAAAGAATGCCGTAAGTCAAATGCCGCGCTGGGGAAGTCAAAATCCAATCATGACATAAATTGACTAGAAATTGACAAGTGCAAGCGGGAAATTTTTTGTCAGGATGCGGGTCGGCGGAGTCTTATGGAGCATGTAATTGTGCTTTATTTTAAACTTCAAAGAATGCCGTAAGTCAAATTCCGCGCTGGGGAAGTCAAAATCCAATTTTGACATGAATTGACTAGAAATTGACAAGTGCGGGGCGGGAAATTTTTTGTCAGGATGCGGGTCGGCGGAGTCTTATGGAGCATGTAATTGTGCATTATTTTAAATTTCAAAGAATGCCGTAAGTCAAATGCCGCGCTGGGGAAGTCAAAATCCAATTTTGACATGAATTGACTAGAAATTGACAAGTGCGGGGCGGGAAATTTTTTGTCAGGATGCGGGTGGGCGGAGTCTTATGGAGCATGTAATTGTGCATTATTTTAAACTTCAAAGAATGCCGTAAGTCAAATGCCGCGCTGGGGAAGTCAAAATCCAATCATGACATAAATTGACTAGAAATTGACAAGTGCGGGGCGGGAAATTTTTTGTCAGGATGCGGGTCGGCGGAGTCTTATGGAGCATGTAATTGTGCATTATTTTAAATTTCAAAGAATGCCGTAAGTCAAATGCCGCGCTGGGGAAGTCAAAATCCAATCATGACATAAATTGACTAGAAATTGACAAGTGCGGGGCGGGAAATTTTTTGTCAGGATGCGGGTCGGCGGAGTCTTATGGAGCATGTAATTGTGCATTATTTTAAATTTCAAAGAATGCCGTAAGTCAAATGCCGCGCTGGGGAAGTCAAAATCCAATCATGACATAAATTGACTAGAAATTGACAAGTGCGGGGCGGGAAATTTTTTGTCAGGATGCGGGTCGGCGGGGTCTTATGGAGCATGTAATTGTGCATTATTTTAAATTTCAAGGAATGCCGTAAGTGAAATGCCGCGCTGGGGAAGTCAAAATCCAATCATGACATAAATTGACTAGAAATTGACAAGTGGAGCCATGTTGACAGATTTAGGCAATTTTAAGGTCATTGGAGGCATGGCGACAGATTTAGGTCATTTTAAGGTCATTGGAGGCATGGCGACAGATTTAGGTCATTTTAAGGTGACTGGAGGCATGGCTTCAGATTTAGGTCATTTTAAGGTGACTGGAGGCATGGCGACAGATTTAGGTCATTTTAAGGTCATTGGAGGCATGGCGACAGATTTAGGTCATTTTTAGGTCACTGGAGGCATGGCGACCTTTATTACTTAATTTACGGCAGCAGATATTAGCCGATTTTGAGGGGTGCTAATAATGTGTGTGCATACTGTATTGTTCCGAGTCTCAATTTTGCTCATAACCGGTTCTAACTTCACAGACGTTAACTGACACAACATTCACAACATTTAACACTTGTCGTCTGCATTGCAGAGTCTGCAATTAAAATAATAAATTAATAAATGTTGCCAATTTGATCATAAATTTAGCTACCTAGTGAAGGATATTTGTATTCAAGTGTCTTACAGTCAGTTAAGGTAAGTATTACATTTTGTGTTATATAAAGTATTTATTATTAGTTAAGTTAGGCCTAATAATACGTTACGACAAAGTAAGAAGATCATTGAATATCTAAAGACAAATTACTTTGTCCAGATTTTGCCGTGTCCATCATGACGAGGAAGAGTAGTCGTAATAAACCTGCCGTGACCACAGAGAAACAGAAACTAGAAAAGATCAAGGGTGCAGATATTATCGACGATAAGCTAAACGTATCACCAGACACATCAACAGACCTACTACCGGATGGGTCATCTGAAGGTGGTTGTTTCGTGTGCGGAAACGCCAAAGTGACATCGCTGTTACAGGGACGACGTCATTACGAGAGACAAGTTGTCCTCTTCAAGGGCTTACTGTTGGAGGAAGAGGAACGTGACCGGATTCACAGCTGCACCGAGTGTCTCACTGACATTAAAGAAGTTTGGGACTTGCAACAACGGATTGACGCCATTCGTGAAGATATTAATGTTATTGTAAAAAGGGCACGTATAAGACGATCGGGTAATTTACAATGAAATAGTAAAGAAAGGCAACATGACATTTTGAGTGATAATGGTTTGTATTTATAGATGCTGATAAGTCAACCCGGGGCAAAAAAGATGCGTCTAAGTCTCAAGAATCAAACGTTGCCAAAAGACGTACAGGTTCGTATGTACATAATAGTGAACATTGCGCATGGAAATGATCTTATGTATTTTTCGGACTTTCCAGGCGGACAAATTTCGACACCCAAACTCAGAACATCACCAAACAAAAAGTCTTCGCCTAAAAGTCCCACGCGTACAAAGGCACCGGTTACATCCGAAAGTCCTATTAAGATTGAAAACACCTCGAGTGACGGTGATTTTGACTTATGTTCTGACATCACTACGTCGCCGATGTTTATTAAAGCTGAATCTGATGCCGAAGAGGGTATCCAAAGCGAAATTATTCCACATGGGATTGATCCTCTTGCATATCGACCAAAACGGAAAAGTAGAATTTTGGCTGAAGAATTTTTGAGAAAGACCATCTCGAAGGTTGAGGGGCCTAAAAAGAAAACTAAATTCGAAGCCAAAGAAGAAAGTGGAGAATCGGAATATTCGTAAGTTTTATTCTTCTTTCTTATGAATTTTTAGCTCGAATCAGGGTTATAACCGTCATGTCTGTCTATCAATTGCTCTCTTCAAACTTGACCGATCGACTTGAAATTTTGCACACTCATACATTTCTGTAGTATGTAAAAGTTCAGTTCTAAGATGGGTCACATCAGTCATGTGCTTGACCAAGCAACCCTGGAAAATATTATCAACCTATATTAGAAGTATACAAATATTTTACAAACATTGTCACCACGTGGTGGGGTGGTAATAGTAGTTTGGTCTCGTGAAGAAGTGGAATCTACCCCTGACTCGGGCTAAATAAAGTCTGCGCTGAAGGTTTGATATGGATTGTAATTATTTGTATAGGGATAGTGACGATGCTGAATCAGATTCCGACAGTAACTACAACAATCACTCATCGGACAAAATTTCAAAAGCAGTAATCATTTGTTCAGAATGTGGAAAATCTTTCTATACCCAGAAAAACCTACGAATGCACACTAAACGGGCTCATTTACCAGGCCGCCATAAATGCCAACATTGCGAGAAAATTGTCGCTACCAATTATGAACTAGTTGCCCACATCAAGTACAATCACACGAACGACGTTTTCCCCTGCTCAGTGTGTGGAAAGGGATTATCCTCTAAAAAGAGATGCATTGTTCACGAAATGATCGTTTGTGAAGTAGAGCATGACTCTGAGCAACTCAAGGAGTTCAACATTACCTTAATCAAGTGTCCCGACCCAGATTGCGAAAAAGTTTTTGATAGAAAAAGTGCTCTGATCAAGTAAGTGCATCTTTATCCGAAATATTTACTGTATATTCTTTTCAATTATTACTATAGTCTAAATATTTATAATTACATTTTTTAGGCATAGCCGAACACATACACGAGACAAACCCTTTAGTTGTTCCAAGTGTGGCAAAGCCTTTTCTGACAAACATTACTTGTCAATACACGAACAATCGATATGTGGTACAAACAAAGAGATCCTGAAACTCATGCATTCACGTCAACAGAAATACAAGAACCTCCGAACTACAGATACTACGTATTCCTACGCTTGCTCTTTCTGTCCAAGAATTAGATACAAAAAAGCGTCACAACTTGAAAAACACCAGAATAAATTCCATCCAAACGGGATCAAGCATGGGCCAAAAATCACTACGGTTTGTGAGATATGTGGCATCGTTGTGAAGGCGGAACAACTTTCTCGTCACATTCGTCTCGTACACGAGGGATTCCGTCCTCATACCTGCACCCACCCTGGCTGTGGAAAAACCTTTACTAGATTAACCAGCAGGAAACTACACGAGAAAACCCTTCATGCCAAAATCCCCCTCTCTCCCAAGCCTAAAGTTACTTGTGATGAGTGCGGCCGAATGTTTTCTCATCCTTCTACCTTGAGCTATCACAAGAATGTAGTGCATAAGGGTATACCGCACAAATTTGAATGTCCCCAATGCCCAAGAAAATTTTTCAAACGATTTACATTCAATCGCCATAAAGAACTTCATGAGAAATTTGGACATACGTGCAGTGTGTGTGGGACAAACTTTTATTCTGCTGAGAAACTCGAAAAACACAAGAGTGGAAAGAATTGTAGTTTGAAAAGCAGATCACCATATATAATGAGCAAATCTAACACAAATTCGATGAAAACTGAAACTGGAATGAATGATGATTCCTCCAACTCCAATATTGAAGTTATAACGGAAGTGATTATTGAGTCCATATCTCAACAAGAAGTTATCATTTAGCCGTGTCGCAGAATATTAATGGTTGATTATTAAGTTGTATTACCATATTCTTAGATTTTATTGTTCAATAAAACCTATAGACTGCAAAGCCTTGAAACAGCAGCAGATAATGCATAAAATCGGTTCATTTTTTTGTTTTACCTTTTTAGCCTACATAGATATTAGATATATATTTTACTTTTACTGAAAAAAATCAAGAGTAGTTAAGCATCGCAGAAGGGAAAAGTTCATCATGCAATCACGAAAAAATTCCTCCAAAAAAAAATTAAAATTATTCCAAAACGGAGCTTCAGATTGTTGATCTTCCTCATCGAGCCAATTTTTAGTGACTGATACACTGAATTGATTGGATAACACCGTATTTCTACATATAATCATGCACGACTGGAGTTGATGGAGGTATATATTTGCCTCCGTATAGGAAATATATTTATAGGGCCTGGTTGTCTTCTTGTCGAACAAAGCATGACAGATTGTCATATGGGTGCTTGTTTTAGACTATTTAACCGTCCGTCCCCTCAACAACCACAGCGTTCGCTCAACTTGAACCATGAGAAAAACTGACGTTTTAAAAGCTCTTGAATTTTCTGTAGCTGTGCCATGACCCAGTCTAAAGTCCCCTCAGGCGTACTTGTTGAGTAAACATGAAAGAACTATTTATTCCAACACTGCGGTCATTAGTTCGCATAATCTTTAAATTTTCGATTGTGCATTTCAATTTTTTTAAGTTAAAAAACAAGCGGGACAAATTAAATCAGGTTGAAAGCCAAAAGGACAATATGTGGGTGTATGTAAAAGAGAAATTATCATGAAACGAACAAAACATGAGAATTTCTACGGATTCATAATCCAACCACACTTTTGTGTAATTTATGTAGGATTAGTAGATGCATGCTGAACATCTCTCCCGGTTCATGTCCCATAATTACATATTTACTCAGACTATTTTGCAGATACATATTCCACGAATTATAACTGCCCCCAGGGTCACAATAAATTCGTGACCACAACGAAGTATCTAGACTCTCTAAATCGTGCATAATAGCGAGGCTTCAAATTGTGTGACCGAGAATAAGTAATGGGACTCATTTTGTCTTTTCTCTCTTGTCTCTAGTGTGCACTTGAAGAACATAGGACTTTAAACAGATTCATTTATTCCAGTAATGCCACAAACAAAACAAGCACGACTACTGCGACACCAGATACATTCCGACCGACGATGCCGACATTTCTTCCTTTCTCCCCAGGGCCAAGCTCCAAGAGAAAGCGAGCTGTGGCGCTGCCTATTTGCCACCCATCTACATATCAAATTAAAACCAAAGTTTGAGAATTTCGAACAAGAGCACAATTGCATATCACATTATGCAATGTAACAAAATATCGAATACATGTAAAATAAATGGGATAATGTGAAGGAGAAAGATAAGAAGACGATGGATGTGAGAACGTGAGTGGTGAAAGCCGGAGAAACTTCCGGTCTCAGTAATCGTATACTAAGGCTCAGCAGTCGCATACTTGTTGCCGAGAAGGAAAGAGCAAAAGTGTTGCTTGTATAATTCTCATGTTCAAGAACGTAATAAGAGAATTCTCTTCTGTTCGTTTCGATCTGCACTGTATTTACTTGTGTACACGTCGTCGCGTCGTCTCCAAATTGCCTTGACTCACTAAGCTGATTTCTAGGACGGCTCATAAATTTTCCTGTCAAATTGTGTTTTCTTGTTGAGAAGAAGTTGTACAAGTGTGGAAGGATGAGTATGAGTGAGTAGGATAATAAACATTGCATCGCTGTTGAGCTGTTGTGTGTGGGATAAAAGATAAGGCATTCTTGACGTTCACTTATGCAAAATTTCAAATTGCGGAGATTGGATGAGGCTCAGTTTGAAGGAGAATACTTACTTATGAGAACGTGTTTGTCGCATGTTTTCGGAATCAGTGAGTTGCATAACAGAACAGATTTTAATTGCTTTAAATCATTGGAAAGTTAAGATAATTAACTTGTTAGTAACATTAACATTATGGAGGCGGAAGAGTCATTATCTTCACAATTCCTACTAAACAATTTCACCAATACATCTACCGAACTATTGCCTCTCACCCCGTTCACCTACCCACCCCTGTTCCAATGTCTTATCTATACCTTGTACTCCGCAATCGTTATCACGGCCGTGTTTGGAAACATACTCGTTATCACGGTCGTGCTTACCATCCCCAAAATGCGCACAGTGACAAACTTTTTGATTGGGAATCTTGCGTAAGCTGTTCATATGTAACTCATTTATTGGTAATTAATCTATAATTAAATCACGTCTGAACAAATTTGTAGGTTGGGAGACTTGCTAATGGCAAGTTTTTCCCCCTTCGGTTTCATATCAATTCTCCTCCAGTTCTGGCCTTTTGGAAAATTGCTATGTCTCATTGTCACACCATTCCAATGCGTCTTTGTCTTTGTGAGTGCTTGGACGCTGGTAGTGCTGAGCTTGGAGCGGTGGTGGGTCATCGTGGGGAAAGCCAAGTGGAGAAAGGGTCTCGTGTTCTGGGCAATTGGCGGAGTCTGGATTTTCAGTCTAGTTGTAAGTCTTCCAGTGGGGCTGGTTGTAGGGGTGAGAGATGCTGGAAATGAGAGGATGCTGTGTGAAGAGGTGAGCCCATGCAGTGTCAATTTTTTGCTTTTCTGACATTTTTCAGTAATTAAAATTCATTTTGCTAATTTTGCACCCAAATTAAATGCATTCTCCGTGTTCTCAATGAGAACTTTTCATACTTTGATTTTAGTATTAGACCTACATAAAACTTTCTCTTTCCCAGATTGGCTGGCCTTCTCCCACCCTTCGTCTCTCTTACACACTCACGCTAATTTTTCTCCAATACTTTCTACCCGTCTCTGTCTTGGCGTCTACCTATACACGAATCGCGATAGAAATCTGGTGGAAGAAAGTCATTCCCGTGTTGGAATGTAGTGGAAGCATGTACACAAAATCTGTCCGAGAAGAGAGGATGGAGAAAGCGAAGAGAAAGGTACGTACGTATGGACATCTACCTAAATATACATGTAGAAAGCTACACAGTAGATTCGCGTCAGTAATTTCACTGCAAATATTTATTTTACAAGTTTATATATTTGTTGATGAATGTAGACCATCTCAACTTTGCTACTCGTTGTGACGTGTTACACACTCTCATGGTTGCCCTTGAATTTGCTGTATTTGTACTTGGAAATTATTCAGGATGAGGAATCAGATCCTTTCCCCATGATTGAATATGTCTACGTGCTATGCCATTGGCTGGTAAGTGAGTCTACATACATGATTTATGTTTGACTTTCTTTTCCCTCAACGATCCACCGTTCTGCATAAAATGTTTTTCTCACAAAGCACTTAAATAAGTATACAAATGTGCATTCGACCATTTCATTATAATTTGTACAGTCCATGACCCATTCATCCCTTAACATTTTCATCTATGCTTTCGTGAACGAGCGTTTTCGTGACGGATTTCTAACCGTGTTGCGGAGATGTGTCAGGTCGAAACCGCAAAACCAGGCTCCTACGGCTGACGTGGTTTCGATGATGACTTTGTGAGCGACGACGGACGATCTGTTTGATGAGTGGGCTGGAATGGATTTACGGTGAGTGGGGAAAAGGGTGGTTTATTTTATTGTTATTTTACTGTATTAGATATATATTTGCAAGTATAATTTATTTATTTTTCACGGGACCTCCCGAGAAATGAAATGGGTCAAAATGTTTTCGAGTAGATTGGTTTCTGTTAGTTGTGTCCTGGAATTAATACAGAATTGATGAATATGTATTAAAATTGTATTCCCTTCCGCTGCTAATGTGTCACTCTGACAGAGATGGAGAAAGTAATCCAATTTCAAGTAAATTGTCTGCGGTGGCATTGTGGTTCATGGGCGCTTAGATAATGCTATGCTGCCGAATGGTGTACTGTACAGTATATTTTGTGGTAATCTATGGGGAACACAATGTCGACAGTATACATGTATTCTAGGAATAGAATAATAGTCGGCCCATTTTCCATTTCAACATTCCTTCAGTTTTTCTCTTATCACTCTGGCTTGTATTGACACATGAATAAATTGCGTTGGGGCCTAATGAGTAACAATGGGTATTCTATTAAAAGTTATATAGTGTTTATAGATCTGCATCCTGTATGTATGTGTTTATATGTATACGTACTATCCCCAAAGTATTGTAAGGGTATACAAGCGGAAAAGGCCCATGCACGCACGAGATTTATAATCGCAGTATATAATTCGAAAAGATAGCATGTCCTAGATGGCTGCATAAGTAAATCTTTATAATAAGCTCAATAAAATATCATTTACTGGCACTTCTACACAATTTAGAGAGAGTTCGTGACGGCCATACTACCCTTGTCATGCTACACTTTAAATCCCGATGGATATGGGTTTGTGCTTGTCATATTTTATGCATTTAGATATGTATGTATGTACAGAAGACAGAATATATGTATGTAGATAAATGTAATTTGTGGTGCAAAAAGCACATCCCTCAGTTGGTGAAGAGATTATGTAAAGGAGTCGCAATGAGGATTCTCGCCCTACCTCGCATCGCAGTGACAGAAGTTCTCTACAAGTCGCTTTGTAAAATAAATACGAGTGTCAATTGTCATACTTTCATAGTCAAACTTTCACTCTGAAAACTGGTGAGCTGAGCTTTGATTTTGCGACGAAAACTTTCCAATTATTCAATTGTTTCCCAACTTTATTGTGTAATCACTTTTTAAGTATGTAGGTCAAACTTTAAAGAAACTTTAAGTTGAGCACTATGTTTATTATTATTTACATATATATAAATTCTACTTGGGTGAAGGTCATGATTTAGAGTGGTGATTTAAATTTATAAAGTTGGAACATTGTAAAACTAAAATCTAAATCTAATTATCTCCCAAAACCCAGAGATCATACTTAAGTTGGACCCAAAATCATTAACGCTGAATTTCATGTCTCAATACCATTTTGTTTTTTATTGATAGTTTTGTCTTGGAGGTTATTATTATCTAGGTAAAGATTTGAGTTTAAAGGTTGGATTTTTTGTTACGTTTCTCATTTTCTGTTACAGGCGAACCACCAAGTATGAGGCCTGACTATAGACTCAATTACAGTATCTAAATACGTATGTACTTACTCATTAATATGTAATACGACCGAAATATTTAGCCACAACGTTTGCTTTCTACATGTGCATAAATATAAATATATCTACAAGTTATATAAAACAATTGACAAATTATATAATAGAACATTCAATTTAGGATAAAAGAATGAAAATCGCCTTAGATCTATGTGGTTATGTAATACGTATGTATTGTGTAAGCCGTATATGTAACTAAATAAAGTGATCATTACCGATTCAACTGTTACCACTTATTACATCCCATATCACAATCAAATCACACGTTGATTCGATTCACAATAAAGCATAACCAACCCTGACAACCATTCTTTGTGTGGCCGAAGAATTTGTCCGTTCGATTGATCCCTTTGATCCCAAATGTCCTCCCGGAATGGTGATCCGGCTCATATTGTTACATAGCAATCACTTTTCTGCTGCTTTCGCTCTCTTATCACAATCTTTTTAGCTGCCCAACAAACGGCAAAGTCCGACTACACCCTAACCGCAGTTCGAGTACTTCTGACCCAATTTTTATTGCTGTACACCAACACACTCGTACTGCCCCTGCTGGACGTCTTGTTGTTGGAACTGCTCCCACCATTCTTCCTACTGTATCTGCTACACCCACTAAGCACGGAGGTGAAGGACTCTCTAAATCTGTCGTTGAATGCCCCATAAATTATGGGGTTCATCGCTGAATGACCCATTGCCAGGAGATGACACACAATAAAGATGTACTCAATATTTGGAAGTTGCGCAGCGTTGGTGAAAGTCTCCATGTAGAGTTGAAAGAGGTTGAGCGGAAGCCACGCCAACGTGTAGGTGGAAATGACGAGGAGTGTTGTTTTGATGGTCTAATATTGACAAGAAGAAAGAGGAATAAAATTTATATGTATACAAATGGAGGCAAACCACTATATCCACATATGTATACCGACCCTTGTGGTAGTGGTCGTGGTGGTTGGTTGAGTAACATGAGAAAGTTTTTAGTGAAACTTGACGTTAGTTACCTTTCGCTTTGCTCGAGCGAGTCTTTGGTCTCGATTGTCCTCTGCTTCACCCGGAGGTTTTTTTCCTGTCGAAGAGCCAGAGAGAATTTTTTTACCAGACGTACATATACCTTTGCTTGTCTGGAGTGAAAGTTTGCAGTACGAACTTACCCCAAACTGCGATCACAATTCGTGAATAAGTAAATGCCAAAACGGATATTGGCAGAAAATATTGAAGAATCATAAGAGTGAGAGAGTACGCGAGACGAAGGGTGTCATCCGACCAGGCCGACTACATATTTATGCGAGAAGAGGAAAATATAGAATATTAAATTAGTTGGGCGAATACTTTATTCATGAATAAGATGGAAAGGGTGAGTCTCTGAGGGTTAGAATTTAGCATGGAACACGGGTGCGAGAAATAGACTCCGGTCGGAAAGATGCTAAAGGCACCCACGCCTTGGTTTGCGAATAATGGGATGTGATGCATGCAGATATCTTTCTCTCGTTAGGCTAATTTCCATGATAAAACGGGACTTAGCCAGGTTGCTGGTGGCAGCAGGCTTATCTATCTTCTTACATACATCACTGACTGAGGAGTGCATGCAGAATACAAAGTTTTTATAATCTTCTCACCTCTTCACACAGCGGCAAACCACCTGCTCTTTGCTCATCAACTTCTAGTCGGGTAAAAACTGCAATCGGTGCCGCAGTTATTAAGGCAACAATCTGGAATACCAAATGACACGGTATATATATATATATTTTTCACCTCCACGGCACTAATGGTGATGGAAATTTACCCAGACACCAAGAATTACAGCTAAAGCTTGACTCCTTCTCAATCTGGGTCTCAAAGGATACAGAATTGCAATGTAGCGATCCACTGAGATTACAAAAGTTTGAAACAAACTTTAAGGACTGAAAGTTTTTACTGCATAAATTGAATAAAAAAATATTAAGATGCAGTTTTTACCCGCGAGTGCTACGAGAGTGTAGGCGCTGTAATTAGTATAATAATTAGACTTGATTACCAGTAAATACACATGTTTTGGGTTCTACACTTACCTCACAAACACGCAAGTAGCCTGCGCTGGTGAGACCTGTTGATAAAAATGGACCATTCAAAGGTCAGTTTTAATACGGTCGTTTCATTGTCAGCATTTCATTAAATGGGCGAGTGTGCACGTGTATGTCTGTCTCCTGCGGGGGTTTGGTGTTATTGTGTGCTATTGACATTAATAAATCGGGCAACTTACCAGATGACACAAAATCAATCCGAACGGCCAGTACTGGAGGAGGACGGATATGTAGGAAAACTATGTAAATACACAATGTTTTATGAACATTCTTCCTGATTGTATGCTTAAATAGGCCTAATATTATCATACCGGTACACACAGAAGCGCCATGAGGAGGTCCCCAAGAGCTAAGTATGTAAATATCAGTTAAAATTGCATAATATTTTGTGGTATTCAAAGTAAAAAAAAAGCTACCAAGAGACGCTATTAGATAATTTGTCACTGTCCTCATACGTGGGGAAGATGCGACGACATAAATGACAAGAATATTGCCTGAAAGAAGATGGATCATGATCATTATTGCATAGTTTTCAGGATTTGCAGATTTTTTCGCAATTTCCCCACAGCTCAGCTTACTTACCTATGACTGCTGAAATGAAAATGAAATTGTATACAAGATAAATCAAGAGTTGGAAATGTGGTGGAAACGTCAACACGGGTTCAGACGAGGGCGGCGGAGGCATATCCGACGGCGAACTAATTAGATCCGTTGGATACATTGCTGTCACATTTGAAAAATTTTCCAGCAGGTAACCATCCTCTCCAGGTAGGTAGTAGTACGACGGGTCTATCGTGCTCATGATGCTAATGATGATCTCCCTTCTGCGTCACAAGTCGCTGAAATATTAAGAAACCCGTTTTTATCGAAAATTGATGCGATTGCACTTTTCTCATTTTTGTCTTCTTTCTCTCCTCGTTATACATACATACACATTCGTACTAAATCCTTGCAAAAATGTCCATCTCACAAAACGAATTGTGAACGGAAGCACTTTCTTCAATCCAATAAGTGCACCTCCTCCACACGGGCACACAAAAAAGGTTGTCTGCTTCCTACCAATGTGAAGATAAATCCTCGTTTCAAAATTACTTGACATTTCGTTTATTCAAGTAGAAAAGACTGAGTGTGTGTGGCTTGTGCTTTACTATTGTGGGCTCGAAAAAACGGTCCAGAGTGAACCGGATTACGGAATAGAAGGAAGTGTGCGTTGTATGTCGATCAAGGTTGAGTAAGGAAAAGAAGGGCTTGAGTTTATGATGATGATGAATTATCGAATTATTGAAGTAAATAGGTTGACAAATCTTTTTACAAAGCTTGGGATACCGTTTTCTAGTGGAGCAGAGGAGCAGCAATAACACGGAAGTTGGAATGTAGGTCAGAAATTGATAAATATTTAATGAAATTCAATTCGCAGTGTACGGGATTGATTTTAAATTGCCACATTTTGATCGGTACATGTCTCGTAGTTATTGACGCCGGATTGACGCCATGGGCAATCTACCTACACGTGTGCATAGTTCCCGTTTTACTTCTCCTCCAGAATTAGCAGTCAAATCCAATCTCTCTCCGAAAATGGCGATTGAGTTGACTATTAGTATTTGGTTTGCCCCTTGGTTTAAATCATCACCTTAACCAACTAGCCAAATACGGCATGGTGACGAGTAATTGAATATCCTCTTCGCCACTTCATCGAATCTCTGGATCAATAACAAGTTCACACAACCCGGATATTATTTCGGACTGATTGACAAGACCCAGCAGGAGAGCTTGCTTATAAGCACATATTTTCCACTCTCGCTTATCCGTGTACATATGCACAAATTCTCCTGCTGCTGATGACGCGTACACATTTCATTACATTTAAACAGCCACTCACAAACAAAAGTTCAAGGTATTTTTTCACTCAAGAATTGCAGAGGAAGAGCTTTTACCTAACACTTACTCACATCTCCTTTCACTCTTAGACTTTGTTTATGATCGTTACGTACATACGCGAGAAATTTCCTGTTTATGCAATAATTCTACCGAAATTTATCAACTCGGAGGCGAAGTAGGTATTTTAATTGCGTCATTAAACCAACAATGATCGCACTTAACATTCCTTTCGGCAAGTTAGTAATAAATCATGCAACGCCTGTAGAAGAAAAATATGCAGTAGACACGTACTCCATAAATTCGTGCAGTATCAGTTACCAAGAAGTAAAGTTACTCACCTTACGTACGTCGAAGCGTTTCCCTTGTACTTCTCGTCTCAAAAGTGCCCCGGAATAAATCGAGATCAGCTTTTTACCCTGGTTCACTGGTGAGACTCTTGTTGCAGGTTTGCAGAATCACAACTGATGCCAGCAGAGTTTGGGTTCGGTTAGAAAATATCTTTTCTCTGCTCAGTGTGTGTATATGCATTCATTCCATGTGGAGTAGAGTTAGAGTGGCTGATGAGTTTTGATATTTAATGCAATGAAAGGCCCAGGAACGAATGAACGAGACAAATTTGCTGTGGCGGATGAGTCGAGGAAAATTGCAAGTTGCGATTCGCAAGCAGCATCATCGTTACATGTACGACTAAGGTAAATCGTATGGGTAAATTGGCGAAGAAAGATTCCCCACGACCTGAATGAAAGCCAGCACGGCATCCTCCTGGATACGTACGTATTTACTGCATCGTCGTGGTACATATCTGTGGAAAGAAGTTGGCAAGATGTTGTTGACTGAGAACTGAGACGACTCACTACCACTTGTGCACAATTTCATGCTCATTATGGATTCTGATAGATGTTTGTTGCTTGTCTGGATGAGTTTCAGGCCCTGAAATTAGAGTGTCAAAAGTTGCCTTTCTCATCTTATGTACTTATTTGACTTTTCACTTTTGGGAAACTGACGTTTAGTTTCTGTAGAGTTTTTGAAAGTATGCAATCTGCGTCATACAATGATACAAATACCAAGTACCATTAATAAATACTTATAGGAAGTAAAACATTCCATACTTGTACATTCATACGCACAAGTATAAAATACATATGCACGAGATAAGCACATACTTATTAACAGTCATTAGTCCAACGATCTCAACTGTTTATTGGTGGCAGGATTTTAATTAAGTTCTTGTTTTCATGAGTTGGCACGCACAAGAAGGAGAAAAGTGACGGTGGTCGTGCAAAGTGGGGTTGAAGTGTTTATATTGTGTTGTGGTCTGTCAGTATAGTTTCCTATGGAACTTTATTTTGTAAAACAAATTAGGCCATCACCTAAATTATGTATGCAAATTCTGTAAATATAAAGACGTGCTCCTGGGGTGTAGATTTAGTTTCGTATGGATTCACCTTACACTCTGTGCCATTTGCAAGTTTAAGTAGTCGATGGAACTCGAAGAAAATATGTAAAAGTTTAATTACTTAAGCATTCAACTTCTGGAAGTAATTTGTTTCATTTGTACTGTTGAGACCAACTATTTATTTACATTCTCTTACATTTCTGGAGGAAACGAATGTTAATTTGGTAAGGACGATGAGAATTAGTGTTTGAAGAACATGGAACAGAATTACAACTTGACAAATAAAAACTCCTGCTGATCCTTCATTAGTTTTATTTATAAATTTTCAGAAAAAAACAATGCAACTTGCTTAATACATTCGAATTGAGAAGTTTCTAAGACATACTCCAACTAATATTTAGCACACAATCTCATCTTCAAATGAAAAAGTTTTAATGAAACTTCTAGCTGCATCTAATCTATGCATAAATCCATATACGGATACATACGCCAACCTTTATTGCACCTTTGGAATATTGAATACTTGGTTTTATCATGTCAAAAAGGAAGCACTTTGCTCAAGTTTAGACGGTATTACACAGCTTCGATGTTGTTGAACAAGCACTCATACAACTCTTGAATTAAGGAGACGCTTGACAAAGTTTAAATTAGATTTTTGCCATCACACAGTTTTCTTTAAATTTCACTGCGCACCTTCGCCCCGCTGTCGTCAGTACTCTTGAAGGCATTTCCAAGTGAAATTAGACGAAGGGAAGGAAACAAGCCTATGCAACACCACGAAAAAGTTTACCTGGTGAAAATGAGAAACAAAGCTTGTTCAAAGGCCTAGCAGGACTTTCACTTCAACAACAAACTATAATTGCTACTTCCATCAACACCATCGCAATATCCCACCCTTGCACTTACCCGCAATTTCGTTAGTACTTGTGCACACACACACGGTGCAAAAAGTAAATATATAAAGAAGCCTTTGAAGAAAACGACGAAGAAAATAAAATTTAATCAGACTGATGAGACTGGTTACACGAAATTTGGGCACGTATTACATGAAACGTTGCAAAATACGAGAAAAATCTGTACTAGAGTATAAAATAAAGTACGAAAAGACAGGTTGAGCCCGGATTACGGTAGAAAGAAAGTAAAAAAGACTCGATTTCACTCTTTTCTTTCTTTCCCTTCGGGTTTTATTCTCAATTAGGTACAGATTTACTGAGACGAAGAAATTAGGGTGAATAGGGGATTGTGAGTGTACAGAATGCACAGATAAATATGTACGGATACGTAGGAACATATGTGTGGGAGAAAGTATACGTACGTGGGAATATGTCGTTCCGCTCGTTTCTCTTTTTGTCATAATAACATGTGTGGCGTAGATCGGATAACATGTGGTTCCGATGCGACATTTATTACGGTCAATACAATTTCCAGAAAGGTGGAAGTGCAAATAATGGATTGTATTCTCCAGTGGCAATTTTCAGCCCATTTCAGTAGGAAGTCAATCTTGATGCAGACACTTCCGGCCGGCAAAGAGAGAGAAAGAGTTATGGGACTTCCGGTCAAGAGTGGAATGTGGTAATTTTGATAAATGTACACCATTTATGGAAATAGGTGCTCCAGATGCGGCTCCTATCCTAGTGTATGATGAATAACATGTCCCTTGCAACTTGTTGTGCGTCAAGAAGAAGAGAATAAATGGGAAAAGGTCGTCTACGTGGAACAAAGTCAACAAATAAACAATTCAGAGATGACACAGTAATTTAAACTGGTGCTAAATTTAACATTGCTGGTTTGCAATGCAACCAACCTACCGACCACCTCGCACATCCTTCAAAATATTAATCATGCCCTTGTTATCGTCATTGCGGTCGGTGAGATAAGACCAAAAAGCGAAAAGAGCAGCAGTATCTCGCCGTTTGTCCGGGAGATACTAGACGACAGACAGTGACAACTCTACTCCTGTTTCCGCAAAAGAGGTTTGTTGTGTGTTGAGGTTGTTTGCAGTGATACATCAGCATCACAGGAAGTGCTGCTCCTCCTGCTTTCCTCGTATTTATTTTTACCCGGCAGCACCAGACTCGATAAGTAAGTAGATATATGAGGAAGTGAGCAACGATATGTCATGTCCTTTGTGTGGTTTGGTGTCGGATAGTCAATACTACGGGGCAGAGGGTGAATTGGACTTTAATTAAATCGTGTCCTTCACCCGAGTTGGTGGGTGGTAGTGGTTTTTTGGTCGGGTTTAGTTATGCTAGGTATTTATGTGCGCAGTTCCCAGAAGACGCTAAACAAAATTTAGCATCCCATGCAAAAGTCGTTAGCACACAAAAATGAGACCTTGTTAGAAAATGTGTGTTGTTTTGTTGCCGTCTTTCTTTCTGTTTTTTGCCGATGTCGTCATTACCCGAGGAATTCTACCGAACCAGTGGAAAACTGGGAATGAACAAGCTACTTATGTAGGTACATTCTTGCAACAACACGTATAAAGATCATAACTCGGCTTTCTCTCTATTTGACCAAACTCTTTCTCTTTGAAGTGCACACAATACCACCACAAAAAAGGAGGATAGATTATCAGTGGCTTTCCATTTCCCTGGCTCTCTCCTCATCTATTTTCACTTGACTGCAACACTTGTGAGCGTCGTGTGGGCCAAGCCGGTCGTCCAGCCCACCAGTTTTGATCAACTCTAGTCAAGTGAGAGTCAAGAGCTATACAACATATTACGTACACTTACATTCCTTTTCTCTGGAAAAGAAAAACATCAAATTCTTTTTCATCCCCAAATTGAATTTGAGGAAAAAGGGCAAAAAATCAGAGATGGATGATCATGAACCTTCCCCGGATAATAAAAATGTTACGTATCTATAATAATTTCTGAACGAAAATATAGAAAATTTTGCTATACGCCCAACTAAATATTGCCCCCAAGGAGCACCTAACGAACGAAAGTGACACACATTCACTCGCCCTTTCACCGAACGAAATAACCCATTAATTTCGATAACAAGATTGCCAATATTGGATTGGAAAAGAGTTGTTGGTTTGTCATTTCTTCGCTTAATGTGTTAACCGTGTTTCTCTTGAATTATGAACCAACAAACGGTGACAAGCTGGCAGACAGGCAGCAGCAAATATATAAATTGTTCAATAGGGAAAACTTGCTAGTCAGTCGAGCTGCCTCTGTCCCAGATCCGAATGCAAGTTATGAAAAGGTGAAAGTTCTTGTTTCCTTTTCTGACGGACAGCGAGGCGTGTAGTTTCTTCTCTGGAACAGAACAATTTTCGCTCAAGGACTTGATGAAGCAGAGACCATAAGAAATACGAAATGACTTTCTTGCTACACGTTCACTAACTTTGTTTAATGAATGTTAGGTGTGGGTGGAGAAAGTTATGAAAGTTGGCAATGCATACATACGTCTTTTAATCACGGTGAAGAAGTTCTGTCTCGTCTCTCCATAATCACATTACAACTCGGTTTATATTCAATTATGACCCTAATACGTAACGTGCAATCCGTGCGGGGAAATTATGTAGGAAATTTTTGCAATTTCCAACCAAATTCCATAACATGAAAGACAGATATTGAAAAAATGACGAAATAGTCTAGATGCAAAAAGAAAATGAAATAATAATAATAATACCAAGCTTCACTGATCAATAAGGGAAACAAACTTGAAGGGGGAAAATTGCAACGACGAGATGAAATTGCATACTCGGGGAACACAGGATTTATTTACTTCAAAAAATTCGAGATGTGCTGCCTAATGTTGCTCTACTACGAGTTGATCGAGTTTCTTAACAATTTTTGTTTGTTTGCGCAGCAAATAAAGTTGAAATTTCCATATATTTGTAAATGGAAAGAGGGATTCCTCTGGGGAATGTGGATAGTCTGTCAAGTACTCATGTTGCCGTGTGGGGATATTATTGGTCCTTCTAGTTTGTCGGTTGGGCATGGGGCTGTTACTCACTCTCGTTACCTTCGTTTTATGCTGAGTTTGCTGAATATTTTATAAAGAAAAATTGACCTTCTTCAGTTTAAGATGGATGATGTTTGTGTATGAATGTTGCACCGGAGGATAATAATATTGAGTTGTTGGGCAGACATGGAGCACTTGTATCGAGAAGTACATACATAAGTAGGTACGTGCGTATAGAATATGGATGCATGGAACAGCTTGTCCCACCCAGAATAATGTACTTATCATCATATTAGGATCAAAATCACATGCTCTGAATCATTGTCCCATAAAGGAATTTACTTTTTCTGATCCTGTTAGGTTTTTTTTCTGACGGCAAGCAAAGCATATATTATTGCGAGAAGATATTTGGTTTAGGAATTGAGC